GCCACGCTAGTAGTAACAGGTGCCTTACTAGTAGTAACAAGAAGCTACTAGTAACAAGATTCAGGTCGTTTCGTTCTGACTTGGTCTCGACACTAGGCACCACCATTGATGGCGTGCCGGCATGCTGGAAATGCTCGCCTCCTCGATATGTTACATGGCGTAAATTTAAAACGAGTCCTTGCGTTTGGTGTCAATGACAGGCCCACCGCAACCACCATGGTCTGTAGAATGAAGCCCCTTTTTGTTTGGCGGCAGCATGCAGCCCGAATTGATACAACCATTTCATTTCATGTTTCCATCTCTATCCTTTGACTCTAGCAGGGGCCTTGGCCTCAAATGACAATGGTCCTTGTTAAAGACATCGGCGCTGCTCACATGAGATCACATGAGTCAGTCAACTGTCAATGCGGTTTTCCTCATGTGCAAAAATCAAGCCGCAGCCATGGGCCATAGCACATTTCCTTGGCACATTGGTCAATTGTATGGCCCAGCGTTCTGCGGCAGATCTCCTTCGGGCCAGAATCAATCGAGCTTTCCTCGTTTATGCAAGGACAGCTGACTTGTTCTTTGATTCCTTCATGTGTGCGGCACTCCTTGTTGCAAGTGACACAAGTCACAAGACCTTGAAGTGGCAAATCGCAGAATTGCATGAGAATGGACACTGAGCAACATAGGCATTTTAAGTTGCGCTGCCATGTAGCTTCATTATTGTAAATGGATGTGATAGGGGGTTGTTGGGTAGTGCAGCTGCTTGCTGAGGTCTTCGACTACCGCTTTGCAGTATCCTTCTTCGCCCGGGGGCCCAGGAAGAGAGGATGGATGATGTCAGATGGGCGCAAAGGGTTCTTGGCATTCTTTCCTTGAAGATGTGTTGGAACGTCACCAGTGGGTTTGGGACTTCACCCTCCCCTAAGCCCGAGGGCGTGTGATGACTCAGAGGACGGGGTTTGTATGCATGAGGTGTTCAAAATGCATCGCCGATGCGCACGACACAAAAGAGCTTGTGAACAACCCCCTTTTTTTGCCACTGCGGGTGTTCAAGCAGTTTGTGACACTTTTGATGATGTCGCCATGAATGTGGTGGTGTTTTGCTTCTTAGGTCCCTGGGAGGGACTTATGAGAGATCATGAGAGTGTGTGCTGATGCTCATTCAAGATCTTTTTGGGATTTATATAGTTATATAGTTCTTGATGGATCCTGGGAACACATTCTTGTGACTATAACGTCCAATAAGTAAAGACACCGCATCACTTTAAAACATGTGCTGGGAATCATTCCCATGTTTGTATATTATGTCAGAACGTTGTTGGTCACGAGCTTCAAAGCTCCCTAAGCCTTCTCCGTCGCAAGTCCTGTTTTGATGTTGGAGGTTTTCCTTTGGAACAACGCCCTCAACATTGCCATTGGCCAATGCATCATTGCCGGCGCTGTTGGTGTTTGGCGCCCCGACTGTTGCCTTTGACAACGAGAGACATGGGTAAGTTGGGACTCAAAGGTGGCTATATTATAGGGCGATATAGGGCGCAGTGGGGGATTTGACAAGCATCTTGCGTGCGTGCACTTTGGGTGGGGAGGAATCGCCGCTTGGTCAGTCTTGTTGTCAAACTTTGCCCGTGGAAGCGTTGCTTCCCATCTGCTCAGCCGAGGTTCTTCACACCTAACGCCGAGAAGGGGAAGAGGGGAGCCATCAAGACATCGGTCTGGAATGTCTTCCGCCCCTTGGCGGGCCTGGTCGGTTCAGCTTGGACAATGAGTTACCATAGCATGGTGGCATGGTGTTACAGTGATTCAGATGACGGCTCCATTTCTTTTGGTCCGCAGTAGGCTCTGCCGGTTCAATCATTCATCCATTCATTCATTCCTTGCTTTGCCTTGCCTTGCCTTGGGGCGGTGGATATTGATTGAAATCACCCGCCCAGCCTGCTCAGCACTGTTTTCAGCTGGTGGCCCAAGCAAGTGAGCCGAGTGGCTCCCGCAGTAAAGCCTGGGCGCCGCACAGCAAGAAAGCTTTGCCACCCGCGGAGTGGATAGCAAGAGGCAGTTGGTACAAAAGAAGCCACACCTCAATCCTTCAGCGACCCTGTTTGAACCATTTTTGAATCCCCCAATTGAACTGAAAGGGCTTTTTGGGATGATTGTATGTTAGCCAATCCGATTCTCCACCGGTCCAGTTTCGGCCTTTTCTAGGCTATCACCTTGGCTCGCTGGCCTTCGGCTCCTTCATCATCGCAGTCATCCAATTCATTAGGCGACGCATGTTCGGCCCCACCCCGTTGTGGTGGAGGGGCCGAACACTCCAAAGGCCTTATAAACATTTATTGGTTTGAGTGTCATTCCACGCGAGGTAAACCTAAGGGACACCAAAGGTAAACGTGTGGAACCCTTGCTGCCGATGTGCAATCAGCGGCTCAATGGCAGGCCTTGGAAACAGTCGAAAGTATGGTGCACAAAAGCTATTTTGGTTGAGGTCCTCATGGAAACATTTGATATACTCACCTGCTTCGGTTTCCATAGCTTGATGTGGTTACCATTGGTTCTCGTCATCTCTTGATGGTCAGGTTCATAGCTATCGATTCGTTGTGGCGTTGGAGGTGTGCTGGAGTTGGTTCCATCAAATGCTCAAGCTGCCAGTGAAAAAGTCCGGGACTCGCGAGGTACCTGATGAATTACTTCGAGAAGCAGGCGAAGGCGCAGAAGAATCGCGCACCTCGAAGATTCAAGCAGTTGGCCCGTCTATGCAGGGCAAGTCTAGCAAGTGGTCGGTTTCTTGGGGTGGCTACAGTGCCCAAAAAAGCATGCGTCAAAATAAGAGACCTCGACTTCAAGGGCATAAAACAGCGATAAACAAACATATCGCAGCTCCAGATGCATCCAGGAGCTTGTTGTGCTTGGACCTTAGGTTTGATACGTCCAGGCGTCTCGACTTGACCGAAGGAGTTGCTGCTCCAAGACATTGTTTGGTCAACGAGTCAAGCCCTGGTGCTGGTATTCAAAGGGCCACGACGTGGCACAGTCTCTGTTGCTGCACCGCACTGTCTCCGGAGATCCCCCCCCGGTGTGAACTAACCAATGTAGTTGCAGGAACGTCAAGCCTCAGAGAGGTAATGGCTGCCTCGCACTTGAGGTAATGGCATTGATTTTGCGCTGCCTTCAGTGCTGCATGTATTGCTTCGAGCAATGCATCAGGTTCTTGAACAAGAACCTGGGGCTTAGCGGAGAGGATGCGGAAGGACTCAAGCTCATGGCCCACCATAGGAGAAGATTAGAACCAAGCGCCTCATTCACAATTCATGCCGGTTGGACTCAGTGGTATTATGATCGGCTGCAAGTCCCACTGACCAGGACCATGTTGAGAACCGACTCCATGTTTGCTTGGCCAAGCTTCCCATGGTTGTGGTTACCTGGTTAGACATGGCAATATCATTGCTGTTGCACCTGCCGGCATTCGGGCGCTCCAAAGTTGTGCACAGTCCCGGGAAACGACAGATTGACCGAAACAGTCCTTCCAGCGATCACCGGTTGTATAGCAGTTTTGGGGCGTGAAGGAACTATATATTGTTCTTTCAGAGTTTCTTTCAGATATTGGGCCCAGGGCCTCAGCAGGTGCACAACTCATGGCTTAGATGTTCACAGTGTGGCGGATGCTATTTTGGGAGCTATCGGGATCTCTGTCAGGAACGCATACATCCAGATCGCGCTCATGGGCACCAACTTCTGCACCTCTGCGAAAGCTGCAACTCGACGGAGCTGAGGTTGTAAGGTGCTGTGCGTTTCATGAGCAAGTGCCACCGTGCTACATAAATGCATCCAAACGGCCAGATGGACGCGTTTCATCGAAGTTGGCTCCAAGAAACCAACCTTCCAACCCTGTCGCCAGTCCTGTCACTCGTTCAGAAGGCCTTCTTCCTCATTCTGCGGAACGCCTTGCGCTTCGGGACGGTCGCGGCGCCTTGGTGGACCTGGTGGATCGAGCTCTCGGCGCGAGCCGGATGGCAGGTTTTATATATAGACCTGCAGACATGTTTAATAGATAGAAAAGTTAAATCACCACTAAAAATGTATGGGAAACCGTGCCACTATCGATTTGGGGACCACGAATAATCTGGTTCAATTTAAGGATCCTACAGCGGGTGCTGTTCACGAGTACTACACCGTGGGGAGGGTGTCATGTCCCTCAGATCTCCCCTTTGTTTACCATCTTGAACCTGATATCCTCCGCACCAGATGGCCAGTTCGTTGAATCATCATGATTGTACTGGAAGGCTTGGAGACATGGGGCGACATTCATAGACATTCATAGACAACAGTAAACATATAGTAATTTCTATGCGCAAATACTAGACATTGCGGCCCATAGTGTGTACCTTTCTTTGCGAAAAGAGAAAGATGCTCACAACTCCAGACTGACGCCCTCCAGCATCAGCTGCTCCACGCCAGCCGGACGATTTGCGCACAGTTGTTGAGCACCATGGTGAACCTCATTGGTTTCTTCTTCATTGTGGCTGCATCCGTTGGTTTGGGCCTCTCGGCAGGGTTGGCCCGGAAAAATTTGATGCTAGCGTGGCCATGCATGGCCATGTAGAAAGCCTGGTCGGTCTTTGTTCACGTTGAATCCTCAGGTTGATGAGTTGAATCCGAGGCTACCTCTTCCTGCAAGCCTTACATCCCGACATGGCCTTCGTGATTCCCTTGCTGATGTACGCTGGGTCCTCGGATGTCCGGCAACAGGTGAAAGAAAGCGGCCGTCCATTCAGCTGGGTGGGGCCATGCTGTGTCTGGCTCATGTCGTGCACTTGTTCTCCCATGTTCTCCCATTTTCCCGGATTGTTTCGTCCAACTGCACTATATATGTGGGTTCGTTGAGTGTATGGAGTTGTTCAATGTTGTTCACGTATACTGACTGTGAGAGCCCCCAAAATCTCCGAGTTCATTTGCTTCTCCCTGAGCCCATACATCGCCTCCCCAGTGGTTGTTTGCACAGAAGGCCATGATGGCCTATGTGGTGGCGAAGCTGCTTCTCGGCGGTGAAGATGCATCCGCCCTTGGCGTCAGCTCGAGCGGAGGGGGATGTAACACAGGGACACCTGAAGGATCCTGAAGAATGGCTTGTCACTTGTCACGAGTAGTTTTCAAGTCTTCCTGAGGTCCGTGTTCTTTTTCCACATTCAGCCTCTTAACCTGGACGTGGCTTCGTAGGAGATGTCGCTGCGGGTTCGCAACCTTTTCGCACCAAGGGATGGGCGCGCACGGTGTGTGAAGCTCAACTCGCAAGAGCAGCACAGTGGACGAGCACTTGTTTTCGGGGCCATGTTCATTCCCAAAAGAACCAAAGAACCCTGTACTCAGGCCCCATTCGAGTGATTCCGGAATACCCCCGCCTGACCTAGGGGTACAGAAAAATTCCCTCCAGGTATGCAATAGTTACCTGCATCAGGGTCATAAATGGAGCAAATGTATGTATAACTATTCCGCAACTATTCCATACATGGATGCTTTGGTAGATTGGCCGTGGGTGCCACTTTGTATTCCTATGACTGGGATGTCACAAAAGAAAAAACACTGTGCGAGCTTCCCCCACAGTAATAGGCGACACGACCGACATACACAGACTCGAACGGGGCCACGTGTTGCTCCTGTTTTTGCAAGGTTCCTTTCTCGATGTTTGGCTGTCTAGTGAGTTTATATGGATATATATACATATATAGATAGATTAAGTATCTAGATCTTGGAACACCTAGCGGCTTAGCGGCTAGCCAGGTTTCTGAACGTCTTCGGCTTGGCAGTGGATAGCACCCTTCAGTGCTTCCTGGCCTGTGAAGAGATGGACCTCTTGGGTGACTTCGTTCCGGGTGAGATGTCCAAGTGCCTTGGCTTTTGGCTCGCTGACGTGTCTCAGCCACCCACCCCGGAGGCTTCAGGGCATTTCACATGCGTTGCATGGTCGATTTCCAGACCAACCTTCATCTTTCAGGATTTCGTTCGTTTTTTTTTGGGGAGACGCCAAGGATTCCTCAGCCTCCCTGCCTTTGGGCCTCCTGCTTCCAGTATCCCCAGAAAAATCACAGGGGAGAGAGCACACAAGCTGAACATGGTGGGTTTGGAGGTCAGGTCTTTTTACTCAACCTCCCAAGGAGGATAGGTCAGGTGTTTGGCGAGGTGGTTCAATTTAAGCTTCCCCTGCTGCTTGGTTCCACCACTTTATATTTATAGAATTGGGTTCTGCAACCACCTATCATATGTGTCATGCACAACTCTTAACAGAATTCTTTAGGAGCGGGCGTCCCCCTTTGGAAACTTACGTGCAGCTCCTCCTTTTAGCACTCCATGTTTCACCAGGTGGTTGGACAAGGGCCACAGCATTGAGGATGCGCACAAAAAGGACGTACCTTAAGAGATTGATGCTGACATATGCCAAGCATGCTGACCTCTTGCCCAGCTGGGCGGGGTGGAAGCCTGGCTGACGTTGTTATTGATTCCTGCGATGGCTCCAAAGCTTATGAGCACTCGCTCGCGACGTTCTGCCCTTTTGCTGCTAAAGCATGCTAAAGCACTGCGGGCGGAAGAAGTGTGTTGCAAACGACCCTTGACACCACACCGGCTTGGCACAACACGTGCCAAAGCCAGGGGCTCGAATTCGGCCAAAGCTGGAGATAATAAAGGCACGAAAGGCTTGCTCGTTCCTCGGTCTGTCTCAAACAGAAGGTCCGAAAGGATGCAAATGAAGCACTCTAGAGATGGTCAGTTGGCGGGCGACATGTGTCATCAGCTTAAGACCACACTCACTGCAGAGTGGAAAATCAACTCAAATCCAGGGGTGGAGCAATCCTCATTCTGACGTTCGGTCAGTGGTGCCCTGCTTTCGCATCCTTTCACCGTAGCCATGAAAGCTTCAACTGTCCATGTTCTGAGCATCATGTCCAGGTCACAGGTCTTATCAAATCTTTGAAGCGAGTGAGCAGAGGCCATCAGCAGCCATGGCTGAAGGCAATGATAATGTGGAAGCCCCTCCAGTGGACCAAGCAGAGCCCGCCGCGTCTACTGAGAGGGTTGGAGCCTAAGCCACGCTACATTGAGAGATTGATAGTTGGATTGGAAATGAGAATGCCAACGCCTTTGCTATTGAATACTGTATGGTTTTAGATGGTTTAGTTTGCTTTAGGGCTACTGCGCATGAGACCATGGGGCTACGAAGCCCATGATGCTCAACATGCAATTCCTTGCAAGGCCAGCTTGAAAGACGAAGGCGGAGTGCCTTGGCCGGTGGTTGCCTTAGCAAATGCCAGTGCCATCCAGTTCCGACGTGTGAAATGGACTGTGCTTGCTCAAACCAACTTTGCTTTGAAGGTGGTGCTTATGAAATGAATAATGCCCAAAGCAACGCGGAGACGGAGAAGGAATTCTTAAGAGTGTGGTGTCCCCTCCCAGAGACCTTAGCAGATGTTTGACGACCACTCAAAAGGTCAGCAACGTCGATCCTAGTGCAACTACCAAGTGTGGGGAATTCTCGAGTCAAGGACAGAAACAGTATCAAGACAGTGCTCACTGCTTCTGCGATGTCAGCCAGCTCACCTAGGGTGACTGGCACGTGGGAATTTCTGTAGAACCGCCCATGCTTTGCTCGGCACAGATTTTTAGCCAGAGGAACTTTTCGAGCAAATCCAGTGGATTTCACTAGCGGGGGACATTCATAAGATTCATAAGCAAATCAAGCACCCTGACTGCAACAGAAGTGGATGGACACCCGCTGAGACCAATTTCTGCACTTGCTACGTCCTGCGCTGCGCACCGCACCACAACAGCACGACAAGTTCACAGTGAAGATGGATGTTGTGTGGATCGCTCATGTTCAAACTGATTTAACAATCACACGTTCTTGTGAATCCCTCAAATTTGCTTGCGTGATGCACATATTGCAGCTGTTTCTGTAACGGGGCCAGCGCATCATCAGGTGAAGAAAAGAGGGTGTCCTGGCAGCTATGCTTCGTCCGCACAGCCTTGCCGAAGAGGTATAGTCAAACAGACGCTGTATTATTAGATGTATTAGTGACGTGTGGACCATACATGATATATATCGGGATACCCCAAACCTAGCAAAACAAGCAGGATATTGGTCAGGGTGCCAGGTCTTTTGGCTCCTTTTGCTTGACAACTTCCCAGGTGCACTGATTTCTTCTGCATTTGGGTCTATGTCGCCGGTTGGGCGGCGTTCGCCTTCGTGACCTTCTTAGGCTTGCAGGCGACGCCGGCACCGGCGATGTCCGGGTGCATGTCTGGCATGGGAGTGGTAAACTTGGTTGAAGCGTCAACCACAAGCAGTAGTGGTTGTTGAATGCGATGAGAGGCGAGGGTTTGGTTTTCATGGGCTATGGTCAAACAACACCAATCCTCAGCTTCTCACTGTACAGCAGCTACATTGAGTTCACTCTACAATCACAGAGAAAATGATTTTTCAAGATCTTTCGAGCACCAGATAAGCCGGGGGGGCGTGTTGATACCAGAGCCTCTTGCAGCATGGAGCTGGTGGAAGGATGGCAACCCGACCAAGTTGTACGCCTCTCGTGATTATTCTGGCAGCTACTGTGGGGTGAATGACAACTGGCAGACTAACTATCAGTTGAGACTTTGCAGCAATTAGTCAGTTTCGTCAAGTCGACTCTAAGTGCTTGTGCCAACATGGTGGACTTTTGGGGATTGTGTGGGCGTTGGGGCCCGTTGGCAATTCCAACAGAACTCATTATATACATATACATAAGTCATATATAGATATATATGTTGTCAAGCCTTCTATGCTTCAGCACCACGACAGGATCGTTCAGACGTACACCGAAACTGACTGGTTGTTACTACTGCCCCTTACCGTTGCTTCAGAGGTTTCAGTGAAAGTTTCAATGAGAAGCCAATGAGTGATCTGACCCCTTTCACACTTGGGTTCTTTCCAACCACGCCCTGCCATTGGCCAAAAAAATGAAGACAGTGGGCGAAAAGATCAACTGACCCAATTCACATTCCGACCCGTTGGCTCCGGTGTCGCGGACCCACCGCTCTCGCCGACCCGGGGCGTCCGGCTGGGCCCAGTGCGGGGCGTCTAAGGGATGGCTTCCCATCCCTCGGCTACACCATGAACGTTACGCCCTTTGGGCTCCAGTGACGTCGTGATGGACCGGGGGCACAGGATGTTCGGAGCGAAACCGTTCGAAGCAGGACGTGGGAGTGGCAAGGACGTGGGAGAACAACACAGAGTTTCCAGAATGGCACTGGCAGATGCTTTAAAATCAGAAGTCCAGCACAAAAAAGGTCAATCATTTGGATCCCTTTGGACAGGGTCGGTCTATTCTGTTGGGGGAGGTGGAGTGGTTGGACAGATCGAAAGACCGGTTTTTGGCATGTTTTGGCCGCTGCAGGGCAACGACTGACCTCATCGTGAAGGAACTGCACCCTGGCCAGAGGTACATGCAAGCAGATTTGGATGGGCCAATCCAAAACCCGTACATCTGACGAGTTGTGTACATACGACCTTTTGTTTGGGTTGTTCGGGCAGCTTGTTCATCTCAAGGCTATGTTTGGTTGAATCACTGGGGAACGTTTGGCAGGTGGAAGCCGTTGTTTTGCCCCCACAAATCATCGGGCACGATCTATGTTTTGGGAGGATGCTTGATGCGCCAGAAGGCAACATAAAAGCTGAGCTTGTTTGCGAGATCTTGCGAGCGTGAAAAGAAGGCATGACATGGCATGGCCTCAATGTGGTGCTGCATTCCCCACTTGTATTGAATATGACAATTTAATTGAATCACCCCTTCCATGCTCTTTGTCACGGCCCAGGATTTGTTCTAACACTGCACGGGATGCCTTCACTGTCGGTTACGGTGGCGTGGGGCCACTTCTGACTACGGCTGAAGAGCAACAGGTGCGGGAAGTGCTTCGTTGAAGTGCTGTTGCTGACCAACACAGCTTTGATGGATGGGGAGCGAAAGAAAACCTCTGAAACATGCTGAAATCAATTGAGACTTGACACATCAACTAAGCACTGTAACTACAGCTCTTCCTCTTGACTCCACCACATCCCAAATTGAGGTGAAAACACCCTCGGTTCCGAACGTCATCTCACGTCGCGTGCTTCGACCGAGGGGCCCTGGCCAGGCCTATTTGTGCACCTGCTGCTTGACCCCCTGCAGTCGCTGTTCGGGGAGTCATAAGATCGAGCATTTGGATGCGAACAACCTGGAGGTGCGTGGCACGACCTCCTGAGAGAGGAGTCTAGCGCCGTCAAGCGCAAAAAGAGAATAACCTCCTACCCCTGCGGTATATCACGCAGGTAAACAAGTCCTTTTCTTCAGCCATTGGTGGAGGATCAGGAGGATCAGGAGAAGTGCGAGATCTAGTTTCAGACGCAACTGATGTCTCCAAAGCAGATAAAGGCAGTTTTAAAAGAAACTGGTTGATGATTCCATGAAACGATTCAGATTTGCAAAAGAGCCAGCTCCACCTGATGCCAAGAATGGCCGGCTAGCATCGCTCGCCTGATGACGTGAGTTTGTGTGGTGCATCAGTCGATGATTGGGGGAAAGATGTCGGAGTTCACTGGGAGCTCCAGCGCTCTCTTCGACCCCAGTGGCATGAATGGAGCCTCGGAATGATTGGACCCCCAGAACCATGGAATGGGTGGAGGAGATGAGGTGAGATGAGGTCAGAAGGATCTGCGCACCACTTGGGAGTTAGACAGGTGCTCACGACATCAGATTGGTTTGACAGCAATCACTGGGCGTTGGACCACAGGTTCGGAAAATGCCAAGGACAACAAAAGGTTTTGATTGCACGAGCTTGCAAGTTGGTCCATCGATGGATGATTCATCATGGGAACGCTGATGGTTTTTAGAATGCAGAAAGGCGACCAAGGGGGCCAGCAACGTCGACTGAAGGCGATTGCACTTGGCTAAGGAGATTACTTCACCCAGATTTGGAGTGAGGCGACCAAGTCAGCCCGGCAGCACTAGATGTCAAGATTCGCTTGTGATGGGAGTGTGCCCCGTTTGCTTGCAAACATACTTCTCCACCAGCCATCGGACCAAATCCAGATTGATCTCTGCCTCACCCACGAATGACTGAAGCCCAGGTATTTCAATTTGGTTTGCCTGCCGAGTTGCGATGTGTACCTTGGAGTGACATGGGGCTGAGATCAAGCAGAAAGGCCTAGAACTCCATGCTGGGGCGCAAGGTTCGTGGCTCTGATAAACAGTAGATATCAGATAGCACACACCCTTTGGTCCAAGGTGTTTAGACGCCACAACTCTCACGACCAGGTTGAGAGAAGAACCAATTACACAAGTCTAGCTGGGCCTCCAAGAGGTGGTTTTGCGGGTCAATTCTGGGACCTTGGCTAGGGTTCTGTCATGTTCTGTCTCCTATTTTTCAGCCACAGGTTGTGAGGTTGTGATTGGGGGTCACTTTTTGAAGATGCACATGTACAGCAGATGTACAGCAGTCATTTCGACAACCGGACCTTCGATCGTGGCATCTAAGCCCCGGACTGGAGCTCTGGCTTCTTGTTGATTTGTCCGTGCAAGGGTGCAAAACCATGCAAAGTCACCAAGCATTGCCATTCCCAAGCAGAAAGGTGCCAGCAGAAGTGGTTCTGGCGAAGATTGCTTGCGATGTCCGGTCATTGCGGCGGCACGATTGCAGGAACTTTGAGTCCCTCTCGGATGGCGCGCGATCATGGACCTATGAAATGGCGGCATGGCAACAGGAGATTGGTGGAAGGAACTCGGTATGATGTGAGTAGATCTGTTGCTGGTTTAGCTCACACTGGTTAGAAGTCGATGGAGGGATCCAGAGCTTAAACTACTTCTTGGCTGGTTCATTGGAGTGACTACAGATATATGATATTATATATATATATATATATTTAATAACCAGGCTAGAATCAAGAAAGATCAACAAAGTATGGGTGCAATCTATTTTTTACACCTGAAATCGCTGAAATCACGGTGGATCTGAGCTGTGCAATTATTGACGGTGAGGGGATGTGGGGCATGAGGGGTTGAGAATAGCAGGGAGTGTGCGAGCTGGTTGCTAGAGCAACCGCTCGTCATGACCTGTGGTGGTGGGGTGGTGGCGGCCACTCAGTAGGCTCCGTGAGGCAGAAGCCATGAGACGCCTTTTGAAGCTGCCCCAGTCCGGGCAGGTGGGGGAAAACAAGAGTTACTGCGTGTGTACTAGCGTCCTTGCTCCTAGTAGCGATGCCCTTTGCTACTAGTGGCTTATCATATCATATATATATATATTATACAAGAGTTATACACATGTGTCCCGTTTTTGGACCTGCAGAGAGAGAGAGAGAGGGAGAGAGTGTGTTATACAATGTTATACTGTAATTGTACCTATATATATATATGCACATTGGCTTCGCAATGCTATAAGCACAGATAGTCGCGCAAACCATCGCAAACTCCCACTGGTTTCCATTTGTGATATTGTAATAAGATCTAAATTTGATCAATCCTGCTACGCTCCGCGGTCCACTAAGGCACCAGACGATCCCTTCAGTACATATTGGAACCTGCTACCTGATGGCAAGAGCGATGGCAAGTGCACGTGAAGCCATATGGTCATTCATGTTGAGAGAACTTCGGCACTTTTGACTGGCAGTATGCTCTCCTAAATCAAGATCGACCAAGACTGGGGGGATTGAGAGGCAAAGCACCTTGAAAACTGTTGTGGGGCCGAATTGGTTTGCTTGGTCAGGTTGATGTGCATGTGGGGGGGCCGGGGATGCGTTGGGGTGCAGATTTGGGCCACCCGGAACGTGTTGTTGATATGACACAGACATGAGATGACATGAGTTTGAACCTGGATAAGTTCCTTGCTGGGAGCTCTGGGATTTGATGTGCTTTCTCAACAGGCATGTAATGGTGATAGGGTGGTAAGTTTAGCTATTTTCCTGAGTTTGCCACTGTGAAGGCTGAACACCTCTGGGCCTGCAGTGATCAAGGACGGAATGTCAGACTATCCTGTACACTGATAGAATGAACTACTGGCAGCTGATGACAGGTGCGTTTTCTTTAAAGCAAGGCTATGGATCCAGTGGAAGCAGCAACTTCACTGGTTACAATATCATACGGCATCGCGTTCTGCAACTTACAGTGTTTGCGTCTTTTTTCAGCGTTGTCAAGACGCCCGCAGTGCGGTAGGAGACGATCAGCTCTTCGTTCACGTTTCAAGCACTGCCCCAGTCCACCTGCCCTTATCCGGCATCGCTCCTTGGCTGCATGCGCTGCATTCTGAGAAGGCCATGCTGGAAAGAACGCCGATCTTCCGACAGCCCCAGCTTCAGTTTGGCCCTGTTCCTAGAGTGTGGGAAAGAACGCCGAGGTACACCAATCCATGGATTTCTCTTGGTCATGCCACAAGAGGGAGCCCACTTTGACTTGGACGGAATCTCCCAAATCTAGCCAATTACTCACAGGAACCTTCAGGTCGAATGAATGGCCTTGGTTTGTTTCGGTTTAGCTTGGCTGCCAAGTTTAGCTTCAACATCATCCTTTGATGAAAGCAAGCGGCTCTGCTCCATTCACGGACATATTTTGGCGTGCCAAGCTAACTCCCAGGAAATGCGTGCCGATGCCGGGAGCAGAGTTCACGGAGCTGGTGTGACTTGGTGAGTTGAACCCCGTTGACTCGCTGAGTCCGCCGAGTTGAGCCACCTTGGAGTGGAGAATTTCTGGGTGATGCTACACAGAACTGCCTTCGCGGCAAGGTTTGACCAGAATGAGCACCCATTGTGTGGTCCTGGCACATAAATCATTGTTTTGGTGTGCCGCGGTCTATCGCTACAGCGTGGTTCAGGTTTCCAAGGCTCAAAGCCACAGATTTCTTCCCTGAGCTTGATCTAAGCCCCTCAGACCTTCCCCAGCTTAGCCCGGCTTTGCCCTCCAGCTTGATCTACAACATGTCCAGTGGATCTCCCTCCTTCCACCATGGAGCCATCACCCCACCCCTTAGCACTGCGGTGCTGCAGCGGTGGAGGCCGGGTTACTGCAGTTTGGGCGTCACCGGCGCCGTGTCCACCCAGCTGGGCAGTGTGATGTCCGATGCCCTGGGCAGCATGAGTAGCGAGGCCGGGCTCCTCCGGTGCCTGCGGGCCATGGCAGACATGGAGGAGTAACGGGGTAACTGGATGTAACTGGTAAGTAAGGCCTTCGGTTTTTTGCTCCAACCAAATAACTGCAATGGCCTCCAACCTACTTGCGATGGACTCCAACTCCAACCTAATTGCGATGGACTCCAACCTAATAGCGCGCAGCTGCAGGGCTCTTTGAAGTGTCACGAAGTTGGAGGATTGGCATATTTTGGCCATACTTGCCGAAAGACCTTTCTGGCATTTCGGCCACCTAGAAGGGGTCACAAGAAATGAGCGACCTGTCTTTCATGCAGCGCCGGTGCTTGTAGATAAAAGCAAATAGCTTCCTTGCCTTGGGGTGGCTGCTAAGCAAACTCTGCGCAGTTTCACAGCATCATTATTGGGCTCACAGCGGATGGAAGATGCTTGCACCACTCAGAGGGGTTCCACACTAAAACCGGTGGTGACAAACGAGAGAGTAAGTTAGCTTTTCCCCTCATGATGTTGTTTTGTTTCTTCAATTTGTTGTCCTTTTTGGTTATATTCCCTTGGATTGCCGACCCCAGGAGCCCCCACTCTCCCTGACGAAATGTGTTCCGTCACCCCTTCTGCCACCCCTTCACTCCTCCGCCATGCCCTCCTTGTTCCAATGTGCTCACGCCACACCTGAGCCCGCTCCGCGCCACCCTCGCCTCCACCTCTTCACCAGCCTCACGGCTCAGGCCTTTCAGAGCGAGCTGGCGGAGTTCCAGAACTTCGGCACCTTGTTCGGCGACGCCATCAAGACGGCCGACACCTTCGCCTTGGTGGCGGTCCCTGAGCGCATGCGGATGGAGACCCAAAAATAGACCCGAAGAAGTGCACTGGAAGGGTTTTGGGGTGGGGGTGGGGGAAGGAGATTGTGAGGAGAACTGTTAGACTGGAGCTCTTCCTTGTAATTAGTTTTGAGACATAATTAACCTAAAACCTTGCTATGGATTGAACATTTATTGATATTCTTAAACAAACATGAATATGATATGAATATGATATATGATGCATTCCTGAAATATGACATGAGAAAACAAAATTTCGGAGAATACACAACATATGAAAAATATGAAAACATATGAACTCCTGGCAAACATATGAAATAAATATGAAACATATGAACATATGAATGTTACGTTGCCTTTTGTATTCTTGGCACGTGTTTCCCACATTATTTCACAATAGCAAAAACAGCCATAGTTTGTTCATGTTTGTTCACAATTCTTTTTCTTTATCATATGTTTTCTCAATCAACAATCCCTATCATGCAGGAATACTAATGGCTCAAAGTTAGTTCTTTCTGCTTCGTCCTCCCAAACTGTGTGCCCAATGGGTGTGACATGAGTGGGGTGACGTCACGCCCAACATCGTGTGCCACTCCACACTGCCAGGAAAGTAGGAGTCAAACCAATCTGCAACAAAGATTGATGCAGTTAAAAAGAAAAGAACTGACGATTCACATGCGCTTGGAAGCAAATCAATGGATTTGCCAAAAACTGAGGTTTGTTGCATCCTGATCGCCTTTGTCTACATGGTCCTGTTGCGCTTTCTGGTTGGAACCTGCTCCTGGTCAGCATCCAGTGTTGCTGCTTCTTGAGTCGCTGGTTTGTTTGGATCGCCAGTCGCCTGCGAGATCGGAAAGATCGATGGCAATGCCATTTGTCATTCATGAAAGTCATGTTCACATGTCATGCCTATTTTGAATGGAGGATGCACCATCACCACGCATAAAAGGTCCACCAACTGTCAGTGTTCGAAGAGGCAAAATGAAGCTGATGGGGCGGATCCCCGAGCCTTATGCCGTCTGAAACGCCACCTTGCGCCGCTCGTGCTGTTTGAGGTGTGTGGACGGCACTCTTTTCAGTGCTACGTGGAATGCACTTGGGCGTGTGGCATGCAGCGCTGAGACGTCTCCAGAACATATTTTGAATATGTTTGATGATTGATGATTGTTGTATTTCCCGGCATGTATATTTACAGTGTACATACATATTCTGCTATATTTTGTCTTTACAGTATATATATTTGTATATATTGCAGGTAGCCTCTTCTCACAAGCCAGTCGTGCGGGGATGCTCCCGGCGTCAACGGAGGTCAAGCTTGGTGGATGTATAGTGTCTAGTTCCTATCAATCAGCTCGCACTTCAGGACAGCTATGGGCGGTCGAACAAGCGAGGTCGAATGAACCCGGCGGAACCCTAGGACACTGGATTTTGATCCACTTGGCTGGTAGCGAGTACCAAGGTTGGCTTGGGTACGAGTGACACATCAACGTCCCCCGGAACTCTCCGAACTTTGGTTCTCTGCATGGGCATGGTCCAAGGCGTCCAGTCCAAGGCGTTTGCGATGTCTAGCTGACCTCTTCAAAGGGTCATCAACGATTTTCCAGTGTTGATTGAGGTGGTAGAATTTCTGTAGCTGTTGTGGCTCAGAATCTTTTGTGAGTGAATTTGCCAGTTGTGCGTCACTTTGCACCCATCGTATTGGCATTTGTGTTTTCACACTGGCTTCTTTAAGTCCGATAAGCTCCAAACTTGTTCTATGCTCTGGACCTTTTGGGACGTATACCTCAGTCTGCATACGGTCATAGACGTTGGTGGAGTCCGTGACCAACACTCCTGAGATTTTTGCAACTTGTTCTTCTGTGTGGCGAACCTGCACGTCGTTTCCAAGCATCTCGAACACCTGTAGCCGTATACCATACATGGCATCTTCACAGTCAATGGCCGCTAAGGATTCAGCAGCCCCAGGTGATCTACACTGTCGTTCTTTTTCCTGAACGCCAGAACACGGGGCTCACAGGGCAAAGGTTCCCTGAAAGGAGCCCCTTGGAAGTGACTCCTGTCATGATACCTAAGGTGCTCTTTCCGTCATGTCTATTCTGGTCAGCTGCGTCTGCCCATCCTGCAACAAGCAGGTCGGAAGCCGGAAGGTTACCATGAACCTTGAGAACATGTTTCCTGTGACATTTGGTCTTATAGACAAGCTTATTAATATCTATCATAGTGCTCACAGTACTATCACGAACCTGGGAAAGAAACAAACTGACTCCGGCCGCTAGGTGAGGACTAGTCTGCTGAGCGCACCACGAAAGAGCCCCCAACACTGCTCGAATTCTGGTTTTCTCCCCTTCGGTAGTTGGTGATTTAGGCTCCCTGCGACGTTCTGCGGAAATGCTCAGCTCTCGAATGTCGTCGATGTACTGTGTTTGTGACAGGTCGAAGCCTCCAGTCTTGGTGCGTTCCACTTTGACCCCGCATTGTATGAATGAGTCATACTCCCATGTTCCCCACTGGAACTTCTTCTGTATTTGGTCGCACAAACTCTTCCATGTGGAACATGAGTCACGACCGCAGAACAAGAAGTCGTCCACGTGGCCACTGATCAAACCGACAAGCTGCCCCTGCTGGTCAACGTACTTGAAGCAACAAGGATCACACACGCACCGTTGGAAACCTAAGGAAATGAGAAATTCCGACACGGTCAGGAACCATTCCAACGGCGCATCGACTAGGCCGTAACAGGCTTTCTTCAACTTTGTGATGGAGCCAGATGGAATTCCAAGTCCGTCGCATATCTCGTCGGTCGGGATGACGTAGGCATCATGCTGATATGATCTACCTTGTAAAAAGGCGCCGGAGGCGTCTCCCTTAGCGACTCTCATGCCGCGGCTGGCTGCCACAACAAGTAGGATTTGCCTGGTGCTTCGTGACATGGTAGGTGCCATTGTTTGTCTTTCTGCATAGAAGGGGTCTTGATAACCCAAGACGACACAACGAGCTTTCGCCTTTCGTTCTCCTGACTCTTCCCGCTTCCAGGTTAATACCCAGCGCATTTTCATTGCCACTTCTCGACTGGGCTGTAGATGCTGTGGCAAAGCTTTCAACGCATCGGCGGCCAAGAACTTTTTGACTTCCGTCCCTTTTGCAACTTTCATTTGTTCTCGTTCTTCTTCAGTCATGCACTCCGACACTTCTACTCCCTTTCGTCGGAGTTGAGCGGACAAGAACGATTGAAAGTGATTGGTCATGTACAATCTACCTCGTTTGCTTTCGGGGATTTCAACTTCAATCTCAACAGCCGCTTGGCTAGAACCCCAAAAACATTCAGCATAAGAGTCCTGGAAGTCCTCAGCAAGTTCACAGTCCAACAAGTGTCCAAACGGGTTTCGTTCTTCGTTTTCCCCCGAAACTAGGTGCCGGACATTCTGGCACGGATCGTTTCTGTCGAACCCTTCGAAACGTTTGGACCTGTTCTTCATCCCTACCCTGTTCAATCTCCATGGGTTCGTTATTTATCTGATTTAAAACAAAAGATTCGTGATGTTGGTGTATCAGTACGAATACGTGTAATTAAAATATTTGGTCAATTTTGTGAATTATGTCACAATTATACATACTAGATCGGCAGTCAACTGGGTGAACGTCCAGGGCAAAACCGGGGTAGGATTAGTGAGGGTTTCCAAAGTCTCTTCTCTGGCGGAAGCGTGTCTCAGTTGAGTCACATTGGCCTTAATCAGACGACCGGCTCGAACCAACCAGACCACCGAACCGGGATGATAAGTCCCTTCCTCAGTCAGACGGGTCTCGACGGCAAGCGCCCGACAGGGTCCCGTGTATCCTCCACTCCTGGAAGATGCGGCTGGTCCCTTAGTCAGTCCTTGAATCCTCCAGACGAACACCAAGTCCCCTTAGCCCTCGTGATCCGGTCGTCGTACACGAAGTCCGTGAAGGCCTGTTCCGCTGTCCTCATGCGTTCTTGGTTCCGTTGAAACTCTCCGTCTGGATTTTCGCACAAGGTCTCCTTCATCCGGAGATGGCCCCAAAGCATGTTGTGCAGGGCTATAGCCCCGGACCACTTCCCGACTGAAATAGTCGTCCACCAAATGGGATCTCCAGGGTCCAGCAGGATCCACTCTCAGTTTATGGGGCTTCCCAAACACAGGTTTCCAACACTCTTGGCAGAACTGAATCATTTGTTCCCCGGAAACCCCTCCCGGACCCTTTCTCATCACCTTACCAATCCTAAACCGACACCCTTCATCAATCAACAACGTGAACTGGACTCGGACCTTTGATGGGGATGATTCCAAAAAGCACAATCCGACTGGATGACATGCCACTTTGGTGCTAGAGGCTCAAGACTCGATCACTCTGGGTCTAGGCGCATGACGTTTAAGCTCCTGACAAACTGAACATCCAAAGTTCCGAGCCAACTCTATGATTCTAGGATCAGCGCGTCGTGAGGTTAGGGCTCGAACCAAGTGTTCCACTGGACCATGCCCAGTGTTCCGGTGAAGCGTCGCTATGTGCTTCAGGGCTGTTTCTTTCTCTTCCGGCGTGAGGTCAGGTTCTTCTTCTTCTCAACCTCCTACCAAACTAAGAATCTCGTCCGATTCGTGACTAAGTTCGCACATGCTACATTTCATGTCACTTCGTGGATGGTGGATGTCATTGCAACAACACTCCTTGACATGTTCTTCCAAGCACTTGGGGGGCCCATGCTGTCCAGACAACTCTCCATGAATATCCCTCGACTTTTGGGGGTGAAGAATCGCGCGACACAGACGCGACGAGCGAACTCGGAAGTGTATGCTGAACGTCTTGTCAGAGCTCCTTGGCACACAGCATGTTTTCCGGCACATTGGCAGGGCAGATCCATTTGTTGTGCCAAGCCCTTTTGAGCGGTGGCCATTTTCCACCCCTTACTCAACAACATCCCTTGTTTATGGTCTTTCAAATTCACCCTACAACCCTTCGTGACACAAAACAAAGGAGGATATCGTTGAAACACCTTTTGCACCACCGGGAGCCTCCAAGCGTCACAAGTCTCGGACCACTCCCACGTGGTGGTTCAGTTCCAACACCTGTTTTTCGTTTCGTTGGTTCACCTGTTGCATACGACTGAACGGACCGCACTCCGTGGAGATCCAAACATGTTCGGGTCGTTGTTTCTTGATGGCCACGAGAATGGCTCGAACTCCGGTATTGGTTCCTATGTCATATCCGTTCCAATATGCAAAACGCTGTGCACTCGACGGGCGATTGGTGATCTGCTGCATCTGTTTTGTCAGAACGGAGTCCGGTGCGCAAGCAAGTTCAAAAAGAATGGGTTTCCTGGCCTGTACGAGAGCCTCCATACATTCAGGAAGCAATCTCTCGGCTTTCCAGCTGAGAGTCCTGATCTCAGAGAGACTTAGCTCTCGGCTCTGGCACTCAGGTGCATCCATCAGCTCTCCCTCGGAGAGTTCATAGGCCTTTGGTGGCTCTCCTACTGCGGCTCCGACACTGGATCCCAGTCGCTCGTAGAAGTGACGTCCTCGACGTTTGGCCTCCTTGGCATTCTGCTTCACCTGTACCATGTCGTCCGAGAGATTCTTCACGGTCACCATCAAGTTCTGGAGCATGGCTTTGACTTCTTCCCCCTGGCCAGGCGTCGGCGTGGTGCTCGATGATGGCCCCGTCGGATGACTGGGTGTCTTCGAGGTGTAGCCCTTCTTCTCCGGCATGGGCGGGACCTCGTTGTTCTCCACCGTCTTCAGCCAGTCGGCCAAGCGACGGAGTCGCGGACTGCACTGGCCTTCGGCTGCGGTCGTCAACACCCACTGGCAGTATGCCGGTTGTTGTGTCTTCACTTCTTGGTATTTGAGGTGGCACCATTGCCCAAATCCCACGGGGTCTTCCGCATGGCCAGGGATGCTGTTGTACGCCCAGTTCAGGGCCTTCATCTTGAGGATCTCCACCGTTTCGGTTCCGGTGAGGTCCACGCCCAACTCCTCCTTCACGAACTTTTGTAAGTCCGCCTTGCGGCGGGCTGCCTTGTTGATGTTCACTTCCATCTGTCGTAGAGGTGAGGCTTCTTTGGTCTGAGGTTGCATCGCGGCCTCTCCCTCGATCTCGATCAGCCGAAGCTTCAGTTGAGACTTCGCCCAAGCCCGAGGAGCCTCCTCGCCATGAGTGAGAAGACGCTGTGGAAGCTCGGCCAAGCTCATCTGGTTCAAGGACATGGCTCTCTCGCAAAGAATGAGGTCGATCAGATCGCGCTATGGGCACCGATTTGTCTCGCAGGCTGCGTGCCGGCACCCTTGACTCAACTTTCTCACAAATCATGTCGCCTGTGACACCTTGAACACCTGATCCTAATTCGTGTGCATGATGATCACAACCAAACACTGGAAGAGGGCCGTCCGAACGCTTCGGCGAGCTCGCGGTCGATGAGCGAGAAGTGACATCTTTCGAGTCGGAGTCTCGAGAGTTTCCATCAAAACGAACTGATGACTTAGGCCGTGGCTGATCCGACACGGTGTGCGCGCTGTGTGTGAGTGCCTGTTTGCTGTTCGCCTTATCTTGCGCTGTCCCGAATTTTCCTTGGCCTGGTGATCGTTTGATTGGGCTCACTTGGTCCACGTCGTGAAGGTCCATGTGATTACTTTCATTGTTCCCATGTGTCTCCCCTCCGTCCTTCGAGTTCCAAAACTTTCAGAGACCCCAGTGGCTTTCCAAGATCCACGGCCTGAGTGTAAATGTCATCCGTCAGAGGCATCAGTTGGTGCCCCGCGGACGAACGCTCAAGGCGGATCATCTTCCTGGGGTCCACATGTCGAAAGACTGCTAAGTCATGTTCAAAATCGATCACGGCACCGAGTCGTCGGAGCGAGTGGATGGACAAAAGAATTGGTGCAGAACCCTCATCTAAGGCGTGTACCTTCATGGTACCCAGCCTGCCTGCCATAGGCACCTGCAGGTCCGCCGTTGAGGCGCATTGGTTCTTGCTCGAATTTCCGAGCCCAAAAACAGGTCTATCGGAAAAATCGATGTTGGCCACTCCTGTTGCTCCCCGTTTACGGGTGTTCAAATCAGTCACGCGTTCAAGGGCCGTGATCGAGCCTATTGTCCTAGTGGCACCGCCGTCCAACACGGCCTTGCCTTCAGCAACGGCCTGGGTGGTGGATATAAAACTTTGGGACTGATCTGGAATCGTGTCACAGACTCCAGCCATGTCTTCAACTCGCTCGTTCCAAAAGACGGACGGGGCCGCTTCTTCAGCCATATGGCCCTGCGAAGACTGTTTTGGCTTCTCTTTGCACTCGGCGATCCGATGCGGACCACCACAACGAAAACACTTGATTGGAGTCCGGGCACGATTGCTGTCATCTCTCCCTCCAGAAGCGGCTGGTCGGCCATAGAACTGCCGTGACATCTTAACGGCATGTTGTCTGGCCCGAGCATCTCTCAAGGTGCGGCGGTTGTCTTGGATAGCTGTCATTGCGCTTCTGGCTCTCTCTTCTTCGGCCACCATAGCCTCGATCTCGTCAACGGAGAAACCCTCGGCTTCCAAGCTCATAGGATCGCATTCACCCATGTGACCCCACTCCTCCTCCAGCTCATCATGACCAGAGTAGTTGGCAAGGAAGCATCCTTTTTCTGCATCACGCTTCCGGATATCACTGTCCGACCAATGCTTCCGCAGAACTTCTTCCACGGCTCTCACTCCAAACTCGCCACGAAGCTCAGCATGGAGAACATTTCTTTCCATCACATCCAGGCCTGAGTCCATGAACAAATACCAACCCTGGATGAAGTCGGGCAGAATCTCGGGAAGCTGGTGGCGGCTCCATTCACTGGTGTCCTGACGGTCGACTGCCACTGGGAGCCATTCCATGACCAGTCGTAGTAGCCATACCACCCATGGTAGTGAGGATCCCACTCTTCGATGGGATCTTGAAACTCTGAATCTCCTTGTCCAGACGAGACCTCTTGGGGCTCCTGCTGACTATCACCTCCTGGCTCACTGCGGGCATGAGAACTCGGATGTCTTGCGACCAATGACGAGGCTGGTCCAACTGAAGTTGATGTCACGCCATGGTCCTTCTGGTATCGTGCCATTGACTGTTGGGCCCGACTGTATGCTTCAGCCTTTCGCAGAATGAAGTCTCCCATAGGTTCTCCTCGCTGTCTCTTGGTTCCCCGGAAATACTTCAGCAAAAGCTCAGACATCTTCTCGGGCACTTTGGGTTGGCCCCGTTCGGCACGAAGGGCCGCAACCAAGACACGCACTCCTCCATCGTGGGATAGCCAATTCGCCGGCTTCCCAATCAGCACTCGTCGGGCTGGTCCACGAAGTTCGGCAGCTATGCGTGGGCCACACAGGTACCGCTTCTCTTTGACCACGGTCTGCTCGTAGAGGAGGCATGTTTCAATGAACTCTTCAAAACAAACAGCTTCTCCTCCCCAGACCGGTACACCATCCTTGCTCTTCTGTACCCCAGTGTTGAGGCCACCTGTCGACTCTATACGGCTCGGCAGTGCAGAGTACCATGCATCACCTGTCCACATCCTACTGGAGCTCAGGGCTCCGCTACCATGCAGGTAGCCTCTTCTCACAAGCCAGTCGTGCGGGGATGCTCCCGGCGTCAACGGAGGTCAAGCTTGGTGGATGTATAGTGTCTAGTTCCTATCAATCAGCTCGCACGGAAGGACAACTATGGGCGGTCGAACAAGCGAGGTCGAATGAACCCGGCGGAACCCTAGGACACTGGATTTTGATCCACTTGGCTGGTAGCGAGTACCAAGGTTGGCTTGGGTACGAGTGACACATCAACATATATTATATATCAATATCATCTATTGTCAGGGTGCCAATCCAGTCCTTTGCCTTTGGGTGCCAGTGACTCCTACCATGCAGCCATAAGCAGTCCCAAGACTGAACAGAGTACAGCATAGTACAACCCCTCACCCTACAGGACACAGGAAAATAGCATGGGATAGCCTACAGTTCAGCTAGAGCCAACTTATATGTACAGTTCATACTAGTAGCAAGGACGCTACGAACGGGGCGATGCTGGCCTGCCAGCCGACCGGACCGGACTCTCTGGGCGTTGCGAGGCTCTTGATCTTCCTTTTGGGCGGTGGGCTGCTCTTCGCCCGTTCCAGCCTGGCGTTCAGCGGGAGGAGTCGTTTGGGAAGGGGGGACCGGGTGGAGCTGAATCTGAATGGTGCAAGAATGCATTTCTTCCACACATTGCAGGGGCTGTGAGGTGATGTGAGGTGCCAGTTACAAAATCGGTCATGGTGAGAAAGACCCCCTTCATGCCCTCATACCTGGGCTGCATACCTGGGAGAAAGAATGCGTGATTTCTTAATTGAGGAGAATGGTCTTCAAGTGGTCCATGGTCCATGGTCAGGTTCCATCTTCCAGTGACGGAACTCTGGACATCACGGGCATGATGCATCTCCTCCAAGCACCAAAACTGAGGCCAATGTCAAGGGTCCGAGCTCTTCCAAACTGGCTACCAGATTGCTATTAACAGCGCCACGTGACTCGGCTACATGGACGTGACCCGTCTTGTTATAGTGGATTTGGTGTGGTACAGGTTGTAGATGTTGTGAAAGTGGGCCAACAGGCTTGGGAACGCTGGCCTGCTGGCGCCTCTCAGAGCAAAACTTGTCAAGACAAATACTACTTTAACTATGTTCCATCGGAACTGCTGTGAGCTTTGGATTGGTGGAGAAAAGAGGCTGCTGCGGTACCAGTAGCGTAAAATCAAGGTCCTAGAACCTTGAAACATCATCTCTTTCCTCACTGACCTGGACATTGTTTTTGTTGCCAGTTGAGCCCTAAAGACCTGGACATTTGTCAACCTCCTCAGCTTTGCTCAGCCGTGATTCCACAGGGTCGGCGAACACGAGGTACCTTCAGAGCAGCGCAACCAATGCCGTTGGGACGGCGATGGACGCAGACTACGAGGTGCGGTGCGGCGTGTGTCACTACGTGTTTGGGGGGCCAGTGTTGAATCATGTTGAATCTTGATTCTTTGCGACTTCAAGCCTCTTCAAGAGCTTGGATCGCTGATGTTTGGGTCTCAATTCTGTTGGAATCATACATTCACCCGGCGTTCATTTTCGGGATTCTGGAGAATTGAAGATGGGTCTTAAAGAAACAGCAGCCAAATATCAGCCCCAATGGTGCAACAGCACGGGAGTTCATACAGGAGGTTTTGTTATACGCTCCCTGAAATCATCATGGAAGTGCATCACCACCTGTGAGGAAAATGGTTTTTGAGAGGGGCCTATTGTCAATGTCCACTTCCAAGACGATTCTAGTGAGTGTACATCATTGTATACCATTTCCTGTTACAGTAATATACTAGTGTCATTGGTAGTGTCATTCTAGTGGTTTGTGTATCCCGTTTTCTCCCATGCACACGTGATGTACCCATTCATGTACTGTAGTCGCAATAATTCTCGGCGTTCATTATTGCGGGGTACCCCAAATCTTGCTGGGCTGTTGACATCATGAGCACTTCCTCTCCTTGACTATCATCTTCCAAAATCTACGATATGCCCAGTGACCTTGGCGAACTGTTGAGGGAGGATGCCCGGCCCAACCTTTTGCACCACGTGAAGCTGGAGCTTTTGCCTTGAAGGTGATGAGCGAAGAGCTGGATCCGGCGGATGGCAGCAACTACACAGGCCTGTCCGCGGCGTCGCATGGTGCTGTGGCAAGGGCGAAGATGGGGTACTTTGAACCGCACGGAAAATTGGGAGATTTGTTGAGACCAGCAATGGGGGAGGAAGATGTTGGTGTCCTACAAGTGCATCGCTACTAGTAACAAGTGCCTTACTAGTCGTAACAATAAGAATTTTATTAGAATTGTAATTACTAGCCAAGGAATCTACTAGGACCTTTCTATGCACAATCATCATTCACCGCTTCGGGCTGAAAGGGGGCCTAATGAAGCCGAGCCCTTGCTGGAGTGATATGCAGGCGCGCAGACGCGCACGGTGGACGGATACTCGTGCATCCCGTTTGGGGCCTCAGCCAGGTTGATCCATGAACCTTGGAGCAGAAAGATGGGAGAATCTGCAGAGCCCCCATGCCCTCCATTGTGTTCCCTGCTCTTTTTTTTCCAAGGCAGGGAGCCCCATCCAGGACCATCCAATCCAGCAAGAACTGAACTCGTGGGACTGTATGGGTTTTTTCAACCCGCCCAATCCATCAGAAGCAGAGCTTGTGGGAGGGTGGCCTTCGCCAGGAATGCTGGAAAGCTCAGCTCTCCATGCGCTGGAACCCCTAACCCGGTCACCACCATGAACAATAGCTCCGGCTTTCACTATCTTTCTAGGCTGAGTAGTTCACGTGCTTTGGCTGAGGGGCTGCCTGGCTGAGGTGGGGAACGAATGGCACAATGGCAGAAGCCTACACGCAGGCTGGAGGGAGTCCGAAGGACGCGTCGTGGGGGAGTCCGAAGGACGCAGCCGATCCTACCGAGTCGAGGATTGCAGCCTGAGGCGTACACGATATATATATATATATAGGACACACATGGCACAACAAACAAACCCGAACATGGACACCTGCAAAGAATGACCTGCAAGGCGAATTTCCTGTAGATCCTCTCAACATCTCTGAACTGATCTGGGGACAACAAGTGTCGGGGGTGTAGACGACTTAAGACTTATGTATCATTGGCATTGCTTGGGTCAGGAAGCCTACCCCACCACCGACTTGAAGGACAACTTCTGCCCGGGCCCCAACGGTCATCTCTTCAATGCTAAAATCGGCTTCGCGTGGCTTCGCCGCCCAACCTAGGCCGCAATCCTTACAACGCGGAGACGGCAACAGATGATACGAAGGCCCCTTTGTGTCGTCCAAGCATTTCTTTTTCTGTCATGTGTCCTGAATTGGTGATTTGGTGTCCTCTTGAAGCATCAATTGAAGCTATGGAAGGCACTTTTGGTTCACGACTGCTGACCCAACCACTCTTGCAAGCTCTTGCCCACCCCCCACACGTTTGGACAGAGCATTTTTGAACGCCCAGACCACCAGATCGTTGGAGGTCCGTCACCTCACCGGCCAGGCGAGCACCATTTGGTGCTTCACCTCCGATAGTGAGGTCCTTTGGCAGGAGTGTCAGCCCATCGGTGTGCTTCGCCCAGTCTGCCAGAATGGCCGCTCGGTGTGCCAAAGTGGAAGGCTGATGTCATGGAGGATGGGGGACGTCAAGATGTATAGGAATCATGCGGCAAAAAAGACGCGGCGCACATACCCTTCTCATGTGCTTCCAAGGGCCTACTCATCTGAGGCAGATGAGTAGTAGATTCATCGACGCTGCTATGCAATTGTTTGCATTTACTGCCTGCTTGGATGCTGTCTTTCTTTTGACTCTGTGACCCCCGAGTCGCTGCCCCATGCTTGGCTTATCAAGTCACACAGCGACAGCGCACTGGCTTGACTTGCTGAGAACATACCATGCCTTGATCCCTTCGTGCCAGGACAATCGACTTGGTCCCTCAATTTTTTTTAACGATACCTACCCCACAGGCAAAACGAGAATGTCGTTACGGGCCCCTGTGTTTGCCTATCAGTCTTGGTCCATGTTGCATGGAAATCCATGGAAATCCTCATGTGGTGGAAAACGAGCTTAAGAAAAATTGACCACTCATCGTTTATCGTTTCTTCACGCCCACTTCTTACAGCACGAGTCTCATCGAGCCTCCTGATGCTGAACAGATTTGTGACCAGCAGACATCTTGGAAGCACCTCGAAAAGAACGGCATCATCCTGGCCCCAAAGACACCCCCCACATGTTTCAATACATGCTCATGTAGCATGATTTTTGGCACCCAAACGAAGGCCACAGTTAACAAGCGTATTCCGTATTCATCGTTCTTTAAGACTGGCGGCACTGCCTGCCGAAGCGATAAGTGTGAAGATGTGTGAAGTCTAAGTGGTACCTGCTGTGGACCCTCAAAGGGGCTGTTGTCACCTAACAGTACATGTATTTGGCACAGTCACAGCACCCAAGGAACTCTAGTTTGGGGACGCTCTGATTTTAGAGTCCATTTCTATTGGGTTGCAGCATGCCATTGTCATCCAAGAAGCCAACAACATCCGACAACTACAACCTTTGATGACCAACCATGACAGCCCCATAATGATAGAGCTAGCAGCTAAGGTATAGTCCACTAGCCAGATGAGATGATCATAGATGGTCCATGATAATCCCCGTGCCTCATTTCACTAGTTTCACCAGATCTTTTTGGACTCATTCTTTCAATCAAAGAGCTGATGTGGACGTTGCCATATGGCCGTCCATGTCTGGCTCCTTTCGGCCGAGGCTATGCCGTCACCGACGAGTCCATCCGCACCGTCTTGGAGCCGCTCGGAGTCGAAAAGTGAGTCGCATCGAGACCGGTGGATGGAAGAACTCGAACTCCTGAAGTGTTCCTATGACTCATCTAAATGCATCTAAATGCATCAAAACATATCAAAACACTGTAAATGATTGTGAATGCCATGTGACGTCAAGAATGTGTGTTTCATTCAGAATGTGGATCTTTGGAGTTCACCAGGATGGTCAACTGGAGCATGTCCCAGGGTCCCAAGGGTCCAGCTCTTTGGGCCTATGGGATCTGATAATGGTCTGGCGGCAGCATAGACATGCATAGTACCATCCATAAATGCAAGGAAACACAGGCCGCCAATTCAATCATCCCTGGGATCGTGAGGTGCTTTTTGGTGAAAGATGGTCTACCGTCTTCAGGTCAGATATTTGTTCTACAGGGGGGTTCAGTGGTTCATCGTCCCCTGTCGAAACAGTGGCTTGTCCCTGTCGAAACTTACCCTGAAATTGGCAGCAAATCTAGCACAAGATTTTCTAATTCAAGGGTGAACATTATTGATGTTAATCATGTCGAGTTGAGTTGAGTTGAGTCAATTTGTTTGCACAATAAAATCCTTTGTCTTCCCTAGCAAGATGCCAAGCAACAAGCTGCACTCGCCCTCATGAGAAGATGGGTTGGATGGAAAGGTCGAGGTTAGTTTGAAAGAATCCAAGATCATCGTATTCGGCTGGTGCAGTTTTTAGCCTGGATTGGTGAATCCGGAGCTTAGTTTTGATTTGGTGATAAGGTGGAAGGAGGGAAACTGCATAAGCACATTTTTGTGGGGGGATGTGTCAGACAGTACTTAACACCTTGACGGACCTCAAGGCTGGCTTTGGGACTGAGGTACTGCGCGTATGTAGTGTGGATCATTGCCGTTCTGTACTTGCACCTGGACGAAAGAACAACGAAAGAACAGCCTGAACGGTTGGAGGGAAACAATGGGAAACAGATTTGGCTTACTGGTACTTGGTTGGCAGATAGTGGACGTATGGGGCAGAATGGTGGTTTGAACACTCTTTATATCTCTTTATGTGTTGGTCATCTTGTGAACGCACAAATGGCCAGCGGCTAGCTCAGAGGGATTTGGATCAGCGCTTTTGCATCCGGTAGCCCATGCTGTTGACCATATCAGAGTCTCGTTTGTTCAAACTCGGTGTTTTCATGTTGCTTTCTTAAAGCAGATTGTGTTGTTTTAACTTGCTGCATGTCAGTCACCCCAACGCTTGTGCTTTCCAAGAGGACGCCCAGTGCTGGCCGAATCTAGTTCCGAGGTTCTTGCAGGACTTGGTACCTCCAACTAAGTGATGGGGCAGAGCGTTTAGACGAAAAGAGCAGTGTGACCTGAGGCTTTTGATCCTTTGCTTCTGCAGCCGAATTCGAGAAGCCATCGCAATTAACAAGGTGGCAGCGATCTTTGTGGCACCTCGAAGGGATCTTCGTGGGTTTGGGAGGGAGAATGAGGATACAGGATGAGGCGAACACTGGACCTTCCGATCGTGCAGTACGCAAGTGCGTGTGGTTTCACATGGACGAGAGTTGAAGTGAACAACGCATTTTTTGCAGGACTGTGACTGAGGGTATATTAGTGGGTATATATTATATGTTGCCATTGAGTACTCGGGTTCTCTTTCATTCGTGTTGGGATCTTTGGTGGGTGTTCGCTACACTTTCCATACAGCAAGAAAGGGGACGCTCAAGCATTGATGTGCTTGCTGCGGTCACGCCTCTTTAATGCAGCCAATTCCACATGGCATCAATTGCTCTACCTGATTCGGTTGGATATTCAAAGAAGTATAATACTGACATTCATGTTTGTTGACGGTTGGTCCCTTAGTAATGGATTCCCTACAATTCACTGAAACCCTCTCCCACCAAACCTCCTACGTTTTGTGCCATGTCGTCGCCAATTGGGTTGACCCAGGCCAGCAACCCGGTGGTGATCGTCGTGCCACTGGTTCAGGCGGTGCGCGGGTCCTTCCCCCCGGGTGGACTGATGTTGAAAGAGATCTGCTGTTCGAACGCTCGTCTTATGGCCGCCCGAAAGTGTTGACACCATGGTTGGTCAGACTGCCATAGGTCAAGATGTCACTCACATGTTGTCCAGTGTTGTCCAACCTCGCTTTCATAGTCCTATGCATAGAAGGGTCAGTTTAGCTCGAACTTTTTGGAGGTTGTTTTCGATGCACTTGCAATAAGACCCCCAGACTTTCCAGGACACATAGACTTACCTGGATCAATACATGACACGTGTCCAGTTGTATCGATGTCATGCGCAGCGGCATCACCCGCCCAGGCGGTGGTCGCAGCTCTTTGGATAGGCCTGTGGGTCTTCTTCGCCTCCTTCCTCCTCTCGCAAGTGCCCGAAAACTACACGCCCACCGAACCCTGGCAACGGGAATGCAAACTTGCAAAGATAGATTTAGTCAGCGCATCTAGAGCCTGAAGTGAGGTGAAACTCAAACGCATATATAATGTCCCCTGCCGAATAAACATAGAATCTGGGAGGTCGAGCTCAAAATGATCCTCAGATTTTATAGAAGTGTAGTCTCTAGAATGAGATGTAAACAATAATTACCTGAACAAAAAGCTAGCCTTAAAAAAGTGCCTCCACCAGGTGAGTTTGTTGAGCTATTCCATTTTATTGAGAAGGCATGACAACGCACCAGATGTTATAGAGGTTGTAGCTTTTGATTTTATAGAAAGCATTTGGAGTAGTAGATAGCTGAGAATTGGTTTCAGAGTGGATGGTGTGTTGTGAGGTCAGGTAGGTTGATATCATATTTTTAAATAGAAAGCGCTTGCATTTGTCGAAACCTGATATGTGATTTTATAGTACATGTATGTGCATGTTATTAACAAGACCGCTTCCTGATGTTGCACTGTGAGAATGCATGTGTGTTCCGAATCATTCAATCATCCTTTGATATCCTTTGTGCGATTTCCGGTGAGTGTTGGGATTCTAGATTTTAATTGTCCAATCATCCCTCTATAAAAACATGTTTTACACAGTAACTTGTTTTGTTTTGGCTCTTTTTCTTAACCTTCTTCTAAAATCAATTTCAACCCTGCAGTGTCCAAACAGTCCAATCATTGTCTAAAATCAACTTCAACCTTCATATTGCCCCCACTTCACTTCTCTATAGAATCAATTTCAACCTTGGATTTGCATCATTGATTTTCCGCAATTTTGGCATCAACAAATATTGAGGAAGACAATAGCTTTGTCAAAAGGTTGAGCTGAACCATTTTACAGGGAACAGGTTCTCAGCACTGCAGTAGGTTGAGATTTAATTCTATAGTGGAGCAAACTGCCCTTTGAGGTTGATTTTTTCGTTTTATCATTGGCACAGTGAATCGTGCACGGACGTGTGGCCCTTGGTTCGAATCTGTGAGAAGTCTCGCGCACACGTTTCGCTTTGGTTTTTCCAAGTTGTCGGAAGCACTTTGGTTGTGAATTGCGCTGGCAGGGCCGCGCGATGTGACCCTGCAAGTGCAGTACTTTTTGATTCTGTAAGTGCAGACTTTGCGACAAGCGCAGCGCATAGTGAAACTTAATGTTAACCTCTCATTAGTAAACCCCCTATGAAAAAAAACAAGTTTTTTTTGGTCCTTTTTTTCGGGGTAGTCAAAACTCTCGACCTTAATAAAGAAACCTCCAGGCTATTTGGCAGAGGGGATTTGGCAAAGGGACTTTCATTTGCTTTCATTCTGCCTTTAAAGTAAAAGGGAAAGCACAAGGCAAGGATAAGCCAGCAGGGCTGCAGGGGTGTTGATGATTGTAGGTTTGTTTATAATTGCAGGGGGTGGGACCGGGAGTCTAAAGGGGTACCCTTCGAAGACAATTTTTTGTATTTGTTTGATAGGGTTTGAATAAGGAAACCTAAAGCTTTTGGCTAGCCAATGATTTTGGCAATCTGATGGGCAAAGATCTAGAATCTAAAATAAAGATACCACAAAAGAAAAAGAAAGAAGAAGATAGGAGAACTTACAAGCAAAAGGGAAAGCACAAGGTAAGGACCAATTAGAAGTAGTATTGCAAATTCCTAGCAGGCCAAAAAGCATAATATTATTGACACATGTTTACAATTGAGAAGCAAAATGTTTATCCATTTTTGGGTCTGGATTTTGGCGCAGTTCAAAGTAGTATTGCAAAATCCTGGCAGGCCAAAAAGCATATTATTATTGACACATGGTTCATTGTTGGGAGGTGAACATTACTTTTTTTGCCCGAATGGCGCACGTGTGCTCGCAGATGCGTGCGCGTGGTGTCAGATGTGCGCTCTCATGTGTGCGCTCTAAATTCTTGTCGTCGTGCTCTCATGTCTTTTTATATGTTTGTGATTTTTTCGGGGGCTTCTCGCCAGGATAACTTGTTTCAGGTCTTTGCTGGTGACGTACTTGTGGTGAATAGTGAAGAAAGCAGATGTTGCAGTGCATAAGCGAGAAGTTGTTGGGATGGGAAAATGGTTGGTCAGAATCTTCAAGTTTTTTGTTGGCTTTGTGTTTCGATAGCGCACGGTGAAGCAGGCCCAGTCTCTGTGTCTTCCTCTTTGGAGGGAAGAAAAGTACTTTCGGAGGATCAGGATGGATCTGCTGAGACGATTTGGGGGATTATTCTGTGAGGTCTGAAAAAGTTTCTGGTTTTCCTATGCTACCATATGTATTGTCCTTTATTCACTGGAGGTATCCCAACAATCCCCAACACATCCTCATTTCGCGATGCATTTCTACCAAGGGCACCTATGAAACCTATGCAGAGGCGACAAGGGCGTTTTGCAAGTTTGGTGGGATGAAACCAGGATGGCATGACCTGTCCTGAACGGGTTCACAACACTCCCCAGACCTACAGATATTATAAAAAGATGTGCTTCATTTGCATGGTACAGTTGTGGCATGTTTGTAAGAGTTGCAACTTGGATGCAAACAGGTTAGCCAGGACCAGCAATGTGCAACTGGACCTGCACACGAGTCTAGTCGGCGGCTGATGGATCACCATCACCTGATCCCACAGACTTGATCCTGCTCGCCAGGCGCATGGAACAGTAGACACCCCGGGGCAATGTACTGGCCAGTGGCCCATGGGCTTCGCCTACAAGGCGAGCAGATGTGAGCAGACAGAGAGTGGGGAGTGCGCCACATCTGAATGTCGTACATCCCTGATCATTCCCCTAGTGTAGTGGCTGGTTCAGTCGTGATTGTTTTGCCTCCATCGGTCCCAGCTGCAGTATAGACTCGACTAAATACCCTGAGCCTGCAGGACGATGACAATTGCGATTTGGTGAATGGTACCTACCACTGCTGGAGGCGCCACTGCTACGACCTCCAGATATGTCCAGACGACACGGAGAGCTAGGGCGGCCTAGGGTTTTGCTGCCGAATCTTATCTTCCCATGAAGTGCCAAGTTATACATGATGCATCATGAAGTTTCCATTGCTCAACGGAAATCATCAGCAGTTTATTTTCCCAATTGTCCCAGGTCTTTGGGACATAGCCGCGTTGACTCCCACGAGCATTCGTTGACTCCCAGTCTTGCAGAGGGTGAGTCTTTGGGTTCTACCTGAGATTTCGGCTACCCCCAGGGCTGATTCCGTGAAGGTTTTTGTTGGCCCTCGCCCTCGGCCCGAGTGGGTCTGAGTGGCTTCTATGCAGCATCGCTCAGGTGTGCGCAACCGCGCTACGCCTTTGACGTGCGCTTTGCAGTCTCCTTCTTCATGCTGTTGTGGAACAATGCCTGGCACTCAATCATTGACATCGGACGGAGGCGTCGTGATGGCTGGAAACGTGGCATGTGCTTTTCAATCCTTTGGGGCCACGTTCTTCAAAAAAGGGGAACTCAAGCACATGAAGCAGATGTGCCGGGATGTCTGCTTGACTGCTTGACCCATCAATGAAGCACCTTGAAGCACCAAGCTAGCTTGGTAACTTTCGCAAGCTTCGGGGACCGTGGGAGGTGACATCCTTGACCATCTGAGGCCTTTAACATCGCTTGTGGGCAGTTCATCGTGGCTGGCGCTGTTCTTTGGACACTGCGGAGGGGACTGGGGAGCTGTTTTGGAGCCAATACCGCTGGGGATGCAGCAGTTTACTGCCACAAACAGCGGGACAGCTGCGGGCTTCTCTCTTGTCTCAGGAAGAAGATGGAAGAAGTATTCAATACGGATCAGTTTCCAGCAACTGAGGCAGCCGCCTGGTTCTTCACTCCAAACTCGGAGAAGGGGAAGAAAGGAGTGAAATGGCATGACCAATGCATGACCAGAGACCTCCGATTGGCTAGGACTTTGAACTATTTAGTAAAGTTTGCTACGCACATTCAGCCCACTCTCCAGTTGTGCAGCTGTGTGATATCAATGATGTCCATGATAATAGTGTCCATGATGTCTTGATGCAGATCTGGCTGCCAGGAGTTGTGCGACAGTCCTTGTTCTGGGCCTTCAGGTACCATTTTGGTTCCTTGGCCTTTGGCTCCTTCATCATTGCGGTGGTGGAATTCATCAGGTATACTTTGCCCCTGGGCGAAACAAAGGTGCTGGGAGAAGGGATTTGCCTCAGACTTATTTTGCGGCGGATGAGCGTCAGCAAAACGCAATTACAAGCCAAATAACCAACTATAGAGAAGGCAAGTTGGTTTCCAACCTCTTCTTTCACCCTCACAAGCCTCAGAGGCTTCGCCGTTCTTTTGCGCTGAGGCTCTATTTGCAGAAGCAAGCAGAGGCACAGAAGAACCGGGCCACTGGGCAACCCACTGCCGTCGAAACAACGGAGCTGACTGAGATGGATACCTGAACTCAAGCTGACTTGGCAACGAGTAGGTGAACTCAAGCTATCGCTACTAGGGCTGTGAAGCCCCTGGATACACACCGCTGGACCCGATCCGGACCCGCCGAACCGCCAGACGGTCCGAGACCATGGACATCGACCCCTGGGCATTGGCGGGGGAAGAACCGACCGTGTTCCGCGGATCCATGCTGTATGTCAGCTTCGCAGGGCGAAGCGGTGTGCCCAGCGAAGCCAGCGAAGCCAAGGTGATGGTGTGCATTTTGAGAATCACCCGCTGCTGCCTGTGGTGCTTGGAGAAGTTCATCAAGTTCATCAACAAGTCACCTGGCCCACATAGACCCGTTGGTGACGTTTCACGCCGTGTCTCCGGTGTGTTTCTTCTCTACCTGGTTCGGGTTCTCGGCATGTCGCGGTTGAAAGAGTCCGGGCCCCAGAGAAGATTGCCTATGGATGCCTATGGTAAGAACCCTGCTCGCATGCCTTTTTGAATACTGGATACTATTGGACCTGGATCTATGGGGACCACATGGACGCTGGTCGTGGTGGCAAACTATTGGTGTACTTTGATGATTTTGATTTGGGAGTGACCTAGAGTCTAGAGTAACTATAAATGAAACTACTCCCAGATCTGAAATCTATAACCAAGTTTTTTGATAATGTGAAACTGAGCATTTGGCCACGCTTTGCGCAGAATCCGTTTCTATCTTGACTTGACAACAGGTTTGACAGTGTCAGTCAGTGCATGATATTTTTCCCAATTCTGTTGTTTTGTTCCCTAATTGCTTGATTGCTTCACTCCGCTTGCCAGTTGTGAGATCTTTGCATTGTGCCAGTTGTGAGACTAGTTGTGAGATCTGAATTCAGTTTGATTGGCCCGTGTTGGTAACGTTTCACCAAAAAGCGCCGGCACAGACAAACCCACAAACGCTTGGAAGCAACATGATACGCCACATAAAACAAACTACTCCAAGTGTTTCCAAGCGCTTCAGGCGTGCAACAGCCCTCGTTTTTCCCCGCTGTGGCGAGCATTATTGCGACCCTGATTTTCGAGACCTGCGCCTAACTAAAGTAAGACAAGACTCTTGGATTGCCTTGCAGCACGAAGTTGCAACTTTGGCATTGCTTGATTCAATAGCTTGGCCTTGGCTCGAAGGGTCAGTTCCGGCATCTTCATTGTTGCCATGGCGGGAGAAGACCTTGAGAATCTGACCTTCCTGCGCGAGGAAGGTCTCATGGGTGGCGCCCGTTCTCTCGAGCTACTACCTCATGGCGCAGCAGCTTGCTCGAGGTTTCCTATTTTGGTCTTGGGGATTGGCGTGTGCCTGACTGCAGTGGCCGGAGTTCTCAGGAACGGCTATGTCAGAGCTGTCAATGACATCACCGCAACGCAACAGAAGATTGAACATGCTTGTGACGGCAAAGGCTGTTTTGGTGAAGGTCAGGGATCGAAGTTGACCTTCAATGGCATGTGCGTAGGCGTTGACCCGAACCACGTCCGCAACGGTGCGGTTGTGCAGCTCCGGCCTTGCAATGAGCACGGCAATCACATCAAGTGGCACTTTACGGGACTCCATGGCCAAGAAGGAAAGTTGCACATCAAAGCAAACCGGAGCCTATGCCTTGATGTGAAAGGTCACCTCTTTCACCCGCAAACACCGCTGCAACTCTGGAAGTGTGAAGATTGGAACCAGGATCAGCTCCTTCAAATCTCTACCGCCCCTGGAGATCGCTACCGTTTGGGCTGGAGTCGCCATCCCAATTACTTTGTCGATGTCAAGGACGGGAACAATGCTTCATGGACTCTGGTTCAGATTTGGACCTATGGAAAGCACCAGCTTTTCTACGACTCCTGAGGTTCACAAGCTCAGAGACAGGACGGTCATTGACAAGCTTCGCATCAGCTGTGAGCTGCGAATTCATTGCAGGATGCAGATATTGATTCAGACATATTCAGTGAACTGGTACACGGAATTGAGCACCGCTTGATTCGGTTTGTTTAAGCAGACTGACTGCTTCGCCAAAGGTGACAGCCACGTATATAGGTACCCTTTTCGGAGTATCGCAGCTACTCGGACACAATGCTCAAAACCGACAAAGGCGTGAAGACGTGAGCACCCAAAATCGTCAGTTTATTGTCAAAGACGTGAAGCATCTCATGAAAAGAGGCGCAAGTTACCACAAGTTGTTGTTCGAATTTGGACGAATTTGGACGAGAAACAGAAGACATATCACTGAAAGGGTGTGGACGAGAGGACCCCCACAAAAAGATGATGCAATTGCGGCACCAACGAAATAGAGGCAAGGTCATAGCTCGTGTGGTTTCAACAAACATCAATCAATTTCACAGCTGCGTCAAGCAGAGCATGAAACCGAGCTATTTTTTCTACGCTTTGTGCATAGGCTCTGTCGACATGGCTTGGTGAGGCGAAGAACATGAAAGCGCCTCCAGGTGAACCGAGAAGAAAACATGTGAATGTGTCCAAAAAGGTGCTGTCCGCAAATGCTTTGATGCATGACCAGATCGAAGATAAGCACATCAAACAGGTGACTGACAGGTGTCAGTCTGTGCATGAATTCATTGTTTCAAAGCCACGGATTTCAGAATCAGCATGTTTGAGTTTGGGGTTCGGAACATCTTGGAACAGTCAGCTATGGAGACAGTCAGCTATGGAGAGAAACGAAGCATACACGCAATATCCAACACAAAATCATAGTCCATCATTCCATATCATTCCTTTGTTTTGTTTTTCCCAATCGCTGGATTGCTTCACTCCTGTTGGGCCTTGTTATTGATATTTGCTACCTCACCTCCCCCTCAGGATAAATCCCACATGAACCAGTGGTTAAAAAAGTCCCGTCGTGTGAAGCTTCTGCAAATTGAACCTTTGTGGCGCACACCTTGTGGTCGTGTAAACGTCCCGTGGTGTAAAGTTCTTCTTGTGTAAACCATTTGTTGTGGTGTTAGACTGTAGGCCTCTTAACCTCTTCTGTGCTTTCCCTTTGGAAGCCTTGGACCTTTCGTCCATTTGGCGCCCCTCAAGTCTTTTGGAGCCAGCCTGGGCCAGTGCAAACATGCACTAAAGTTAAGGGATTTGTTTTGGCAAGCATTGGTAGACCAAGACATGCCTCACCTGGACATTCCAGTGGCTTCAAGTTCATGGATCTCTTGTCACAATTTGCAGTGTCCGCGATATCGGACTGCAGAGCAGTCTTACTTGCTTGAACAGCTTCACAAGAGAACCCCTCCCCGGCCCTACCTTCGTCAACAGGATTCAGCCTGGACCTAGTTGGGCTTGGCACAAGTGGAAAGAAGAAAAACAACTAATAGTCGAAGTCTTCCACCATGTTTCATGCCCACTGCCCAGCATCCACAGCCCATGACTTCAGATGTCTATGTCACCAACGTAGATCCGTCTCTACGCGTCCAGGAACGCCTACATTCAGATCGCCCTCACCGGAGCGAACTTCTGCACTGCGGCCAAGAAGGCCAGTTGAGCAAACAGATGTGGGAGAAGCAATTGAGAAAACTAGATGTACATCACAATGACAATAGTGCATATAGATGTTCATAGTTCATCTATTTCATGGGCATTGGTGACCTCTCAATATGTCCATTATAGCCCAGTGGCGCTCGCAGAAACAGGGCATTTGTGGGTGTGAAGTGCACGCTGTGCACTGTGTTTGAGACATGTTTTTACCTGACTCCCACCGCAGGGTGGGCTCATGCTGCCAAAAGCTGGCTCGGTCCGTCGCGCGTTCGCGCGCGCTTGCTGTTCGTCGAGGGCGATCGCGTTTCTTGCTTTCGCTGTTCTCGCACTCACTTTGTGGACTTCGTGTACCACTAGTGTCTTCGCATTGGTAGCGGAGCCTCCCCGCCAGGGAGGCTCCAGCTGCGCACTTCGCACCGCCGAGCAGATCGCCCGGGATAAGCCCTTTGTCACCAACCCCTTGCCGAGACCTTCACACTCCTGCTTGCTGAGTTCTTTGTTGGAGACCCTACGGGGTGGAGTGGTCTGGCCGGACTTTGGCTCCCTTTGGATGTCTGGTCAACGGCACCGGCAACAGCATCAAAGAAAGACATCGGCACCCGCGACTGGCTCCATGGCGACATCCTCCAGTGCCAAGGAGGATTCTACGTTTGCAGACATCCGGGACTCATTTGTTCCTCTGTTCAGCGGGCAGCCATCAGACTATCGCGAATGGAGGCAGCGGATCCAGCTTTACCATCGCAAGATGGTCTTGAGCAAACGCTCAGCCGAGAGCGTGATCAATGTTGTCTCTTCCTTCAAGGGCGTGGTCTGGCGCCTGTTCGAGGATTGGCCCTTGGAACGCCTGGAGAAGGACGGAGCTTTTGAGGAAGTCCTCAAGGTCCTCGACGGCAACTTCTCCTATGACGAGAGGGTTCAACTCCCGAACGACTTCGAAGGTTACTTCAACCTGCTGCAGAGGGCACCGGGTCAAACCTTGCTGACCTACGTCAATGACCACGAGGAGGCATATCGTCGACTCCTCCAGCACAAGGTGACCCTGCCAGAATCTGTCCAAGGATGGCATCTGCTGAGGCGAGCTTCGTTGACTCGCGAGCAACGCCAGTTGGTGACGCTCAAAGCCCCTTCCCTGGAAAAGACCTCCGTCATTGAGGCTTTCTACCTGATCATGGGCCAAGATTACAAAGGAGGTGGATGGAACCATGATCGCAACAAGAAGTTTGGGAAGTGGGGCTCCAACAAGGCGTTTGCCGCTCAGGATGATTGGGAGGATGCTGACGATTGGGGTGATGAAGCTGGTTACTATGAAGATGATAACTACCCCGAAGAGGCCTATGAGGAGGAGAACTATGACTTCGACTATGATGCTGGCTACTATGGTGATGAACCGTGGCCTGACTCCTCCGAGACCGGACTAGATCCTGAACAGATGGCCGAAGAATTCGACACAGCGTTCGCCTCCTACACTGACGCCCGACGTCGCTTCAACGAGCTCAAGATGGCTCGTGGGTACCTCCCTGTGGTTGCGCTCACCGACAACCAGACCCTTGCAGCTGGTAGCGGCTCTCCATCATCCAGTCCAACATCACGAAAGGGCAAGGGCAAGGGAGGAGGAAAGACCAAAGGAAAGGGCAAAAGCAACACCATTCGCTACCCGCCTTCCAGCGGTGGCAAGAGCGATCCAAAAGGCAGGGCAAAGGCCAACATGACCTGTTTGAGATGTGGCCAACAAGGCCATTGGGCCGCGAACTGTCCTCAAGGCTCAGCTGCATCCAAGTCCACTGGCCAGAAACGACCGGCTCCTACTGAAGGTATGGCACACCTCATCGACAACGAGATCACCATGATCATCTTCGAGGATCACTTGGGCCATGAAAGACCGGCTACACCACCTCCGAGCAGAAGTTGGTCACTGGCAACCTTCTCAAGCTGCGGACTTCGGTGAAGCAGGATGCAATTCGAACTGTTCAGAAACTGCATCGCAATCTTGGTCATCCTGCACCCAAAGAGCTTGAAGAGCTACTTGCTGCTCGTGGTGCCAGTGATCAGGTCCTTGAAGCAGCGAGAACCTATGTTTGTGTCGCCTGCGCCAAGTACAAGAAGCCTGCTGATGCTGCACCTGCTGCGATGCCGACAACAGCGACCTTCAACCAGACCGTGCAGGCTGATGATGTCTTTTGGTTACGCCGGGGCGCGACCAAGTTCCCGATCGTGAGCATGGTTGACGTTGCAACTCGCTTCACTGTGGCCATGCTGCTGCGCAACGAACAGTCGGAGGAATTGGTGAAAGCCTTTCAACGTGGCTGGCTTGCTATGTTTGGACCTCCACAGCACCTCATCACCGACGAAGGACGAGGGTGGCTCAGTCGTGAATTTGAAGAGTGGACAGCAGGTCACGACATCTTCCATGAAGTCGCCCCTGGTGAGGCCTACGAAAGGCTGTCCATCGTGGAGAGACGCCATGCAGTTCTTCGCAAGGCTCTCGAGGTCTACTGCGACGAGTACAAGCACTTCAATGCTGCTGGCATCAAAGAGGCATTGGTCTATGTGGTTCCTCAGTTGAATGCAGTCACCTCTGTGTCTGGCTTCTCACCTAGCCAGTGGGTCTTGGGCTATCAGCCTCAACTGTCAGGCAGCCTGCTAACAGAGCGTTTGAACCCTGCGCAGTTTGGTGGCCACGAGGACTTTGAGATCAACCTGGCCCGTCACTCTACAGCTCAAAAGGCTATGATCGAGGCAGATGCTGACCGCCGTCTTCGCAGGGCGCTTGGAGCAAAGTACCGTGGCCTGAACGCTGAGTACAGCCTGGGCCAGAAGGTTTGGTTTTGGCGAGATGCTCGACAACCTGATCTTGTGAAGATTCGTTGGCTTGGACCCGCTCAGGTTGTGATGAAAGAGCACAAGGCTGATTCTGAAGGTCAACAGCGCGTCCACGTGTATTGGCTGGCCTACAAGACACAGCTCATTCGATGTGCGCCTCACCATGTGCGTGCAGACATCAAAAGCATTGGCCATGCCTTGGATGATGCTCAACAAGCCCTGTCCACGGTTCAGCAGCTTCGTTCACGTGGGGTCACTCGCTACTATGACCTCCACCGCCTCAACAAGAGGACACTGGCTGAGATCGAATCCGACGATCAACATGATGATCCTGATGGTGATGTGATGGAAGACTCTGAACACGAGATGGCACCTCCCCGACAGAGACCACGACTGCTACTACCTGATGCACCACGTCCTGATGCACCCGAAGCACCGCCACAGGTAGCAGCAGGGGAGTACACACCTACATCACCAGCGAACTCAGCAGTGGCACAACTGGCAGAGCAAATGGCAGAACAACAGGCAGCACAAGCAGAACAGAACACAGCAACAAGCACCGCGGCAGCTGCAGATACAAACAACCCTGGCACTACCGCGACAGATCCTGAGATGTTGCCACGAGTTCCCAGTGAGCTGGACTCAGTTTCTGAGCCAAGCGAAGAGCCACCGGCTCAATCCGCTCAACCAACACCTCATGCATCACGACCACAGCTTGATCCAGCAACAGCAGCACTTTATGAACCACAACATGAGGCAGAAACATTTGCACAAAGGCGAACACGCCTCAATCGGCAGGAAACACTAAGCTTTGCACCCTGGCGAACACGACCTGCACATGCAGCAATTGCACCATACAATGCAGAGCACAGCAGTTCAGCACCGACACCACCAGCAACAGATGATCTTGCAGGACAAGCCTTCTACCTCGATGATCTGGACACGAAGATGTTGCCTACGGGGTGGAGGATGGATGAACACGGGTTCCTGCAGCTCTCCGACAAGGAGACCGATTACTGGGAGATCCGAGCAGGATGCCTCATCCGACACCATCGTGTCCCCCGACTTCCACTGAGTCAACTTCCCAAAGATTGTCCAGTTGATGCAACGAAGCTCGATACCATCCGGGTGACTCTCATTCACCAGCCTGGAGGGAAAAGCCGCCTGTTCACTGATGATGGTCTTGAACACTCACCACCGCCTATGGTCAATGGCACCTGGACAGGGGCCACCATCTATCAGCTGAACGGCGACACCAGAAAGGAGCTTGCCATGTACGCTGGACCTCATCACCACCATGTGAGTGCCAAGCAGCAAGGAAAAGATCAAAAGCTGGCACGACAAAAGAAGTTCAAGAAGGAGAAGGGTGGTGTCAATGAGCGACTGCTTGGCCCCCATGAGCGTGCCATGTTCAAAGAAGCTAAAGTGAAAGAGCTCAAGAGCTTCTTCGACCACCACGTATGGGTCTTTGAATCAGTTCGTGAAGCGGACCCGGCGCGCACCTTGACGAGCCGCATCCTCTTGAAGTGGTCCAAGAACCCTGACGGGTCACCAAGGGCTAAGGCCCGGCTCATCGTGCGTGGCTTTGCTGATCCTGACGCTTTGGCAGGTAGCATTGAGACATCATCTCCAACAACCACACGGCTTTCCAGGTCCATGCTGCTTTCGCTCTCGGCGACGATGAACTGGAACATGTGGACTGCCGACGTCAGCACGGCCTTCCTTCAGGGTCGCAGCCAGGATCGCAAGCTATGGGTCAAGCTTCCTTCTGAAGCACTGGCATTGCTTGGAGCTGACGAGGACACCCGCATGCTGCTGTTGAAGCCATGCTATGGCCAAATCGATGCACCACGTGGCTGGTATCTCGAGGTCGTTGAACGTCTGACCAAGATGGGCCTCCGACAGCATGCATTGGATCCTTGTGCCTTCCTGGTCTATGAGTTGGATGACCCCAACTATGACGCCAGTGACCCAGGGCATGAAATGGTGAACAGCTTCGGTGATCACCGCATGGTTGGAATGATCATCATGCATGTAGATGATCTTCTTGGAACTGGATGCCCACACAGCCCTCGCTACCAGGCAGTCGTTGAGATGCTCAAGAACAACTTCAGCTTCCGTGAATGGAAGGAAGAGCAAGCTGTCCTGGAGTACTGTGGCTGTGAGTTGGAGAAGACCAACAGCGGTGGCCGTAAGCTTCATCAAACCAAGTACATGGAGAAGGTGAAGCCCATCAACTATGACAAGAAGCGCTCAACGACCGACAGCCTGCATGAGCGCGAGGTCACCCAGCTGCGTGGCCTACTGGGTTCACTACAGTGGCCGGCAGTGCAGACTTCACCGCACCTGCAGTGCAGCACCTCCCTGATGGCTGCACATGTAAACCATGGCACTGTAAGCACTCTGGCTGAGTGCAATCGCTTGCTCAAGTTTGCCAAGGACAACAAGGACATCGGCCTGACCTACAACCACTTGGGTCCACTGAGCAAACTGCGCCTACTTTGCTTCTTTGATGCTGGTTTCTCCACCCGGGCTGATGGTTCCTCGCAAGGAGGCTACATCATGATGTTGGTGAATGAGGACCTGATGCATTCAGATGAGGAGGGTGAGTACCACATCATCGACTGGCGCTCGTTCCGCACGCCGCGGATTGCTCGCTCATCCCTCGGGGCTGAGGCTCAATCGGGTGGACAGGCAAGCGATGCAGTTGATTTCGCATGCCGCTACTGGCATCATTTGCTGGAGCCTGCTATGTGCCTCAAGGACTTGCTTGGCGTGACTTCCACCTTGAAGCCGGTGATGATCACCGATGCGAAGGCTTTGTACGACAGCTTTCACCGCGAGGCTACAAGCTCTTCAGTGGTGGACAAGCGGGTCAGCTTGGAGATCCGTGTGATGAAGGAGCGCTTGCTGGAGTTGGGTGGCACCCTGAAATGGATGTCCTCTGATCGGCAAATCGCCGATGGGCTCACAAAGGATTCCGCGAGATCCTTGATGAGCAGCCGCTTGCGTCACCAGCGGCTCAAGCTGACGTGGGATCCCGAGTACAAGGCCATGAAGAAGAAGTCAAAAGCTGAAAGATCCCAGGCCTTGGCTGAAACGACCTCCGGCTTTGAGAACATGGAGAAGCATGGCATGAATGGTGCGCCAAACCCTGAAGAACATGAAGTACATGAACGTGTGCATGAGCTTCCCCACGAGATCCCGGAGAGTGGCATGTCAGAGTATGTCAACTTTGTTTCCAACGAGGCCGCTCTTGTGTATGTCCTTGCCTCAAGCCATGTCGCTGGCCGCCAGCAGAATGTGAAGAAGGGTCGCATTTCGAATGTCACAGGGATGGACCCCTTAGTCATACCAAGTTATAACTTGGGGCAAGTTAGGTTATAAGTCACGGTAACACCGTTATAAATTGGCTTAAGTATACTAAGTTCGTTTTCAAACTATAACTTACATATATGTTTTACTGTAATTATAACTTACTTACAAGTTCTTTTTTAAAGATCTGCTCCTGAAGTTAGTTTGAAGTTACGGAAGTTAGCATTTTGGTATGTTTTTTCAATGTTTTTTTTGGTTCCCTTGCTGACGTTGATAGAATACATTGTTCTTTTTGAGGTACCTGTTTTCTTGACTTATTTTAGTTCATTTTTACGCTATCTACATCTTTGATGTTTTCTGTTGGCCAGATTTCTGTTGGATTTTCTGTTGGTCCGCACTCTGACTTGGGCATTGTTTGTACTAGTTGTAATTTGACCGTTCCAACCAATTACTTATAAGTCGTCTTTAAGCTTTTGCAAACAGATGAGTATTTGTTCTCGAATGTCACTGATGCAATGTACATATGTGGTTATAAAGGGTGTCCTGGCTGCCAGGATGGTAGCCTGCTAGTTAAAGTCCTGGCTGCCAGGACAAAATGATTTTAAAAAACTTGCATGGCGGTGGTTGGGAGTGATCCTGGCTGGCAGGATACCTTTGTTTGTTTCTTGATACCATGTTTTTTGATTAATCCTGGAAACCAGGACTTAGACACATGGTAAAAAGCTAAAGAGACAGATGTACACAGAGGTAAACAGAGGTATGCAGAGGCACATACCTCTGTATACCTCTGTTTACCTCTGCCCTAGGCAGGGGTACACAGAGGTATACAGAGGTATGGGCAGAGGTACACAGAGGTATGCCGAGGTAAGCAGGTGTATGCAGAGGTATGCGCGCAGTTGCATAGAAAAGTGCCCAAGTGCACACAGACACATACAGATGAATACGGACACATTAGTTTTTACACTTTCTCACATGTATGTATCTGTTTTTCGAAGATGTGTGTGATTAAATGTGTTTGTGTTCTCCTTGATGTCACAACATTTGTCAAACAATCTTTGGCCAATGTACGCCAGTTGACGTTTTCCAAGTTCAAAATCTAAGATTTTGATAAAGCCCTCCCACCTTGACATGGTTGAAGCCGAAGCCCAGCCTTTAACTCAGATTGTGCCAGCTAAGGAATCACATTTTTCGCGGTGGTCCGAACAATTTCTGAGTTTTGTTTGGCGGTGGTCCGCGCGTTTTGCGGTTGAACTACTTGTTCTTGTTAGTTTTGTTTGGCGGTGGTCCGCACATTTTTTGATTGAACTACTTTGTTGGTTAAAAATTCATTGGTTTCAAGCTTGTTTTAACACCAAAAACAACAAAACTTCAATTATAAAGAAATTGGTGAATCAATGGTAGCAGTGATCAAAATTGAATCAAAAAATTAGCATTTTGAAGTTACGGAACTTATAACTTACTTACAAATTAGATATAAACTCATGACTACGACATTTTACTAACTTCGGTATAACTTATTTATATCTTTTTCAAGTTCAGTAACTAAGTTATAACTAGGGGGTCCATCCCTGCATGGTTTGGGTACTATGGCTGCTGCTGCTGCAACATGCCCGAGCAGAAAACACCTGCTCGCCTGCCGATGAGAACACCCCTGAGCCTGATTGGTTTTTGTATGTGATGGCAGGACTCCTTTGCCTGGTCCTGCTGATGGTTTTTTAGATTGGTCGACTGACCAAGACTGCACCGGCGGCAAAGCCTGTGGTGGTTGCCCACGCCGAGACCCAGAAGGATGAAGCGATTGTGCCTTCGCGTCTCCGCGAGCTCCTCAAGGCTGAGCAGGATCGGAGTGCTCAGTTTCGAGCAGCAGCCGCGGAGGCACAGAAGGGGATGGAGCTTGGAATGGAGGAGCGCAACCAGCTCTACCAGCTGCTGGGCGATGGCGCTCGTCTCCTGCGGAAGATGATGAACAAGATCGATGACCACATGGAAGTGTGCCCCCACCGGGTACCAGTGATGGCATCCCGCCATGGAGAGTGCTGGCACTTCGACACGTGCCATTGCGCTGAAGCTGTGGTCGACCGAAACCGCATGAGGCTCCGACACTGCGCCTACTGCGCAGATCCCCACGGGCCGCTGGATAGGTTGAATTTTGAAATGGGTGGTTGCCTGAGAGACGAACTCCAGGCTTGGCTTGCCGACCATGCAGGCTTGTGGGCTGACGCTCACGCCTCATGAGTCCCTGTGGCAAAGCACCACCGGTGTGAAGTGCACGCTGTGCACTGTGTTTGAGACATGTTTTTACCTGACTCCCACCGCAGGGTGGGCTCATGCTGCCAAAAGCTGGCTCGGTCCGTCGCGCGTTCGCGCGCGCTTGCTGTTCGTCGAGGGCGATCGCGTTTCTTGCTTTCGCTGTTCTCGCACTCACTTTGTGGACTTCGTGTACCACTAGTGTCTTCGCAGTGGGCCTTTTCGAGGCCTTCTTCCTGATCCTCAACAACGCCTTGCGCTTCGGGGCCGTCGCCTTGTTGGGCTCTGTGATCAACCTGGTGGGGCTGCTGGGCGGATTGAACGCGATCGGCACCAGGTGGAGTTGGGGAAAAGGATGGAACAGGGTATCATGGTACAACAAGATGTGTCAAAACTGGGGAGGCCTTGGTGAACTACAGCTCATGAACGGAATCGACTACTGGGGAGGTCAACGTGGTGCGGGCTGTTTGGGGAGCCATATGGAGCTCGCTTGGCAAGAAAGGGATGCGAACAAGAGGTGTTTCAGTGTTTTTGTTTGCATGTTGGTTGGTTTTTGTGAACTCGTTGCACCATTCAAGCGATTCACGGTACTTGCTTAGACACTTGCTCACCCCCTAGCTCCGCTGCACAAATGGGTCCGGGCTCTCACGGTGAGGCTCCTGTTTGCACCTGTCCTGTGATGGCCCAGGGGCACACTTTTGTTGAAGATTTTGCACACCTCCTGCCCTACTAAGGAAACCAGTGAAAACATTGCATTTCCATGCATTTCCAATATTTCAGGTGCCTGGTGTTGTATTTGTGTGCCTCCTTTCATCGACCAGTCTGGCAGCTGAGGTACTTCTTCATCATTGCTGCCACTGTTGCTCAGCTGCAAAGCCGCTGCAGCGGAAGGGTGTTGTTTCATTGAATCGGCATTGCAAGTGGGTGCAATTGGCACCTCTAGTTACTAGGTTTTGTTGAGCTGTCCGACCACCCGTGCTTGCACCAGTCCATGAATGATACAGGTTAATTCTGTGCTGATTGCCTGGCAGCCTTGGCCGCCTTGGCCCTAGGTCGGGATCGGCTACTTGCAACTGATCAACATGCACCCCACAGCCGCGCCCATCTTTCCGATGGTGGCAAAGTCGCATTAGCCATGACTCTAAGGACCAGCAGTAGTAGTATGTTACTCCCTGAGGGTGGCATTAATTGCATTAATTAGCAGCATTGTGACGTCGCTTGAGCAGCACCCAGCGATTTCGCCAAAGCCTCTCTCTTAAGTCAACAGCTGATACAACTATTCAGTGTATCCTGTTCCGACTAGCATGAACTTCCCGCCTTTTTGTCGAGATGATTCGCCCTCCATGGATTGCAAAAATGCTGACCCAAACCGACTGTAAAGTCTTGACCGGGATGGCAAAAGACGTATTCGTTGTCGTCGTAAGTCGTGATCGTGAGAGGTCGTCAGAGGTCGTCCGTGAAGTCGTCAGGTGTCATATGGGATTTGCGGCTATGTGGTCTCCCATTTGTGCATGAATGTGTTCGGCTTGGCTGTCGACACCTTCCAACAGCAACTAGGCCGAGTGAGAGATCATCAGCAGGTGATGCCATGATACAATGTGAGGCCAACTACTGTCTTCCTTTAACATGGCCTGAGCTAAGTGGATTAGACTTGATGTATTTGTTCAGTGCATATATTCCGGCTCAGGAGTAAACCCTCTCGAGGTTTGGTGCATGCTGGTTTGCCCAATATGTTTGTCAATTTGACGAGGGCATCATGTGGTCGGAAGAAGGTCTGGAACACAAGGACTTCATTTACTCTTGAGTCGGGCGCGCCAGCCATAGATACAAGGAGCCAAAATAGTTAAATAAAGCAAAAATAAAGCAAAAAAGAGCAAAAGGTAAAGCAAACAAAAAAGCACAAAAATGTAGCTGTGCGTGTTTGTCGCGGTCTTTTTCGCTTTATTTTCACATTTTGTCATTTTGTTCGCTTTGTTTTCCTTTTTTTTGCTTTTGTTACGCTTTTTTTTCCGTTTTTCCCTAGGAGCGTACAGCAAATATTGCTCACGGCTAAAGTCCGCATAAGTGCAGAAGTGGTACCAGAAAAAAAAGCAATCAAACAGCAAAACACATGCAAAAACAAAGCAAATTGTGCTGCTTTTGCATTTTCATTTGCTTTTGTTTCGCTTTTTGTTTCACAAAAATAGTTATTTGATGGTTGGTCATGTATGGCTGCCATTGCCCAACACAAATTTACTCACTTATACTAGAGTAGGTGCATGGTATAATTTACTGGCACTTTGGACTGCTCCGTGAACTTTCTTTCGAACCAGGGGCTGGTGCTCGGGGCAAACATGGATGCGCTAGATGCCTGCGAACCTGACCCATAACACTTCCAACAGTGTGTAAGAGTCACCGATCTTCACCAATGCTCCGATCGCTAGTGCCGGCAGCTTTTGACGGCAGTTGCTTTTTGCTTTCGACCAATGTTGGTCGATCAGTTCGGTCAGATTGGTCTGAAGCATTTCTTGTTTCGGTCTGAGCAGTTTAGGGTGGTGTCCGGCGGTTGAGGTGCTTCCTCCTGTGCGAAGAAGAGAAGGACAAGATTGAAGGTGAGCCAGGGTGCAAGAAGGGGCCATGCCCAGTGGACGCGATCCTTTTTCAAAAGTTTGCGACAGTCAGTAGAACCAGTTAGTGCAAGAAAGGGTGATAGACATAGACCGTCGGCCCGAATGAAGAAGCAGAGAATTCCAGGACGGATTTGTGAATGTGTTTGACAAGTTAGGTCAGGTTGCATTTGTTGGCACTGCGCCAAAAACAGTGGATAGATTTGGGACAACTTTGTGTATGTATAATACGGTATAACATAACCAACAAACACCCTCAGCCTCACACAAAGCTTTGGCTATGTCAGGACCACATGGGGGACTGGCATACCTGGCCCACCACCAGTGGTATGCCTGGCCTTCAATGGCCTGTGAGGGGGACCACCGAAGTCGTCAAGATATGTTGAGTCCCTGCATTGGCACTTGGGCATCTCGAGGCCAGCATGATTTCGTCCCCACGCAGATGCTGAAGATCCTTCAGCTGAAGCCTTTGGAACAGCAAGGTTCCAAAGATATGGACAAGGAATAGCTGCGACACTTGGCGGGATGTGGTCTCTTCAAGAGCTGTCCCGGACTCTAGGCTTTCAGATGAATACACTGGGCAAAATATATCACAACGAAGCTTTGTTTTCATGAACGCGGCCACCATGTTGATTGCAAAAGGAAGCCTACACCACAGCTTGTGTGCCCCCCCCACCGGTGGCGGGTGCTCGTAGTTTGGGTAGTCATGGCTTGGCATTTGCAGCTGAGGTGGCCAAGGTGATCAATGGCGAGGGATTCTGACGGCGAAGGATGAAGACTACTTTGACTATCTTTGACTACTGGTGAGAACGAACTGGTGAGTTTACAAAAAACATGGTGTGTGGAAGTGTCTTCCATAATCTATAATATACTGTAATCATTTCGTAGAATTGAGGCCGCTTGTTGCGCTCTCCGCCTCACAAATAAGGCACCAGATCCAAGAGAGATGTTTGGTTTTCATCCCGAGCTGCTGTTATCTTTGGGATGTTTTTCGAGAGCCCAAGGCTTCCTACATCTCTCACGTAGCCTCTTGAAAAGAGCCTGCTAAGTCTTCCCTGAGAATGAATATCGACACATTCGGATACCAGCAGACTAGCGCAACCACCAGCAGTGAAGAACTCTTGAGCAATCTTAGAGTATACCAAACCAGAGATCCATTGGAGCCGAATGTATTCGAATGTTGACCTTCAGGGGAGCACCACTAACGAACGTTCGCCCGTGCATTCTGTGGAGAAGCTTCGAGCTCATCGGGGCGCTTTTGGGACCTCGAAGCTGTGGGATCGTATTCGGCCCGGAGAAGCCCCATCAACAAAAGTGCTTGACCTTTGTTGGTTTTTTCCTGGGCCCATGGTTGATACACAAGCGGGCCATACAAGTCCTTGGATACTTGATGAGCCCCAAGCTTGCATTCACAGGCTCGAGCGGAATTGTGTGGAATGAGCTAATTACTAACCAACAACCTCACCAGTCTTACATTTGTCACATACTGCAGAAATCTTGCAGCTTCCGCTTCCGACCTCTACTCACAAGAAGTTCCATCTGACAAATACCAGCAAGTGTTAGCTCCTTCCATTGTTTTGCCGGCGCTTGCTCAGAGTAGGTGTCCCACGCTGCGCTTGTTTTTGCTTGCCGCCATGCGGCAAACGATTGCGGTAAAGACGAAAACGGCACCAGCAGATGGATGAAGTTCTCCGGAGAAGCGCCGACCTCCTTTGTTATTCGCGTCAGCACGTGTTTGCACTTCAGGCATTTGAAGGGCCAATGTCATTGGCACAGGTATTCACACGTTGTACGACACGCGGCTTTGAAAACCAGTGTCCCACCCGCACGTGGATCGATCAACGGTACGACCGCGGGATGTGCTCGAAGGGAGGCTCGGCCGATCCAAACAGGGCTCGGGTGTTTTTGGGGGACGATCCGGAGGCCTTGGATAGTCAGAGATCAGGTAGGCATGAATTCTGAAGGGCCGTTCCCATTTCCACCATAGGCGTCGTTCGGATGCTGGGCCCTGCCATGAGAAATCCAGCTTTGACGCTCGGCACTGCCTAAGGCGCCGAACTCGCGAGGAGCGTATGGGCCAAAAAGGGGGAGCGAAGACGGCGGCATTGCGAAAGTGTGGGGTGGCAAAGTGGTCATGGACCAAATCCTCTAATAAAGGTGCTTCGACCCTTTTGCCTGGGTGAGAGCTCGACTGTAGGTTTCAGGAGAGAGCTCTACAGGAATGTTGCAGGTGGTCCATCCACAAAACTCTCGCTTTGTTGCTGCCTGATTCAGAGCGGGTTGACTCGAACATTCAGAGATTGTTTATTCAATTGCTCCTTTTCGCGTCCTGAGCAGCTTGGCATTCAATCTTCAGGCGGTTCCAAGTGTGAGCTCTCTTCATTCGGAGCGTTTAGAGTGGACGCATGAGGTGATCAATCAGATGTAGGTGGGACATGGTGGGACTCAGATTCACCAAATGGGATCGTCCTTCTACGGCATGAGAATTCACCAAGATCTCCTACCAAAAACGTTGTTTTCCTATCGTTTCGCCAAGGGAAAACATGGAAAACGACAACTTTGGCCTTTGAAGGCTGCGAGTAGAAAATCAAGGCTGCCACGTGTTTTGAACAGAGCCATGAAAGATCTTGGTGGATTTGTTCTTTTCTGCACGCGCGCCTGCCTCTCGAGCCATTATATCATATAATTACGATTATTTGTTGAGGGTGTGAGGGTAAAGTAAAGACATAAGAGCAAGACTCACCAAGATTTGGGTCAAAGCGAGACTGGCAAGAATCAGGCCCATTAACTACGTTAACTATGGCCAAAGCAACCGAAACGAGAGCACCTGAACAGAATAAATCGGACGAATGCCACGACGAAACCGGAGGGAAGCTCAAACCAAAGTCCTGATGCAGGGAAATCATTGTAAGGATTTGTAGCCCGCAAGCTTTCGGAAGAGGCGACCATAATATAAACAACACATGAATCATAGCATGGAAATGACGCTGCTTTGTGAAAAGAACTCTTGGACACCACCACTCCGCGTCATTGCTTTGAGTGAAACATCTAGAAACACCATGACCCGTGGGTCTCGCGGGTGTCCATTCCCTTGGTCCAGAAAACCAGTGGAAGCGCGCTCCAAATAGCCTTTTGGGGGAACTTTGCCATTCAAAAGCCTGATGCACCTTTTTCCTCAGCTATGTTTAGGAACATGATGCGAGCTATGTTTGCTTCAAAGTTTCTTGCAGGTTGATGCGGCCTTGCTTGAACATGCATGACACAAGCTGACACAAGCTGCCGCAGGGATTTAGTTCAAAGTTCTTTGTGTCTCACCCGGACTCGCGAGTCACGGCCGCCGGATCGCGGCGAGCCCACGATCGCCCAGCCAAGCGTGATTTCCGGGCCGGAAATAGAAGGCCCATGGCTTCTCGGAATGCAAGCTTTGCGTTGGTCCAACCTGGTTGGGAGGGTTGGTTCAGCAAGACTAGAGGACCGTGAAAGGATGATTGCAACAAATAATCCTGTCCACATATTTAACAACATGGGGTCCCCTTTTCCCCCTCCCCCTATTAAGAGAAACTCGGTCGCATTTTTTAAATAGGGGATCCCTGAAATCGGGGGGGTCCAAAATAGGGTCACCTGGGAAGAGCTTCAAAACCAAAAAGTCATCCAGAAAAAGATTGTATAAAATCATCTATTAAACTCGTATCAAAAATTCAAAACACCTCCAGATCGAGGGGTTTTCCTTTTCACCTACAAAAACCTTTATTAGAATAATGCTGATTCTTCATTAGACATCATTAGACTAGCAATCAAAGCTTTCGAAAGGTGATGTCGCTGTGCCATGCGGTTTTGCACGACCTCGGTGGCAAGTGCGTTTGCGTGAGTCCGTGCATTGGAGGAAGGAAAGCCTGCTGGTGTAAACGCGGCGTTTCATGGTGGATACACAGGGCGGACAGATGTGGGCAGTTACGGTTGTTTTTGGAACCTAATAAAGAAACTATATCCCCAAAGTCGACCATGTTAGTAGTTTAGTAGCGACTTGAAAGCGTTGAAAGGGCGTTGAAAACAAAGATAAACCGAATTTAGGGATTCGGACGTGGTGTTTTTTTAGTTGGGGAGGCTTTTTTAATAGGTACTCGGGATTAATGAATATATCTAGGCGAGGGTGTGCAATACTTGGTGTGCATATGCGGTGGGATGACCTCTAAAAAGTCAGTCGTGGCAGGCCCAGTGGCCAAAATAGTGCAATTTTCGTGGCGCCGAAGCGGGGTTGCAAACTACAAAAGCCATCAGATGCTGAAGGCACCACAAAATACATCACCATCGAAAACTCACGACACCCTATTGCCCAATCAAGGAGGGGCCCATCCACCAACCCGCCAAAGAACAGTGAAAGGATGCTTGCAACCGCTTGCAAGCACAAAATCAACAAGACTTATATATGGGAGTTGATCGAAAACCCCGTGTAAGGAGTTTTATATAAAACAGCCTTTCAGATGTTGTTAGAACCATCCGCGAAAGATTCGCGATGAGGTTCGCGAAAGTATCTTTTTTTCCGCGAAAGATTTATCGAAGGTCATCGCTTTCATTGTTTTCATCTTTCTACCGGACTGACAAAGAATAGAAACGCAAGGCAATCCTCCGGCAGAGCCAGTGGGCGGAAGTGTCCCCATATGTCACAGACTAACGAACTGAAGCCTCAACATTTCCGTGCCCAGCCCTGGCAGTGCGTAAAGGATTCTCCGATTCCTGTCCCCACAGTCACAGACTAGCAATCTGGGCAGGAACAGCCCTGACAGTGAGGCAACGACCTGCAGCTGCTCTGACGGGCTGTGCAGGTGTTTGCAAATGTTACGGCTTCCCGGGGAAGCGCCAGTGAAATTTCGCGAAAGATCCGCGAAAGTTTCGCGAATGTGCCGCTAAAGTCTAGGTTCCCAGCTTGAGGCCCCCCAACATCCCCCAAGCTGCATCGCCCTGTGTTGGTAGCTGGCACGAGGATTGGGTTGAGTTGTGCCTGACTCTATTTGGCACAATTGTCGCACAGATGCTGCAAGTGACCCTGAGTAGCTGTGGAAACGTTCAACCATCTACTGGGGTCATGCTGCAAGATGTCTCTCCCTATTTTGTGATACTATGACATGTTCCGGCTCATGTTAGCTAGACATGGTTGTAGGATGTTGTAGGACCATGCTTCGCGATGAGGCCGCGAAAGATATCTTTTTTTTCCGCGATGAATGGCCATTCCAGGATGAAAGAATATTGATCAACCACCATATATAGGCAGTGCGTGCAATATTTTGTGTGATCGATGAGTGCCTGTGACCTTTAGAAAATCACTCGCGGTAGGCCCAGCTCATTGGCAACAGTAGTGCAGATTTCGTGGCGCTGGAGGGGTGGGGGGGAGGGCGCAGCGCTGAGCGAACCAAACTTCAAAAGCCTCAGACTCAGGCACCACAAAATAGATCACCATGGAAAACTACACACCCCATTGCCTCATCAATGAAGGGCACTCAGAAAGTGACGCAAGGACCAAGGCAATCGGGTAGCGCTTTGTTTTCGCACACCTCGTGTTTTTGACCAATATTGACATATATTGACCAATGGACCACGAGGCCAGCGGACCAGGAAAGGGACCAGGGGACCAAAGGACTAGGGCACCAAAGGACCAATGAACCAATGGAGTAGCCAGAGCAGGTTCCACTGTATACGCCGGAGGCTTCCAAGGTTCCAGCACCTCAAGGATGGCCATGGCGGTGCATGGAAGGCCTCAGACACCTGGAGTTTCTCCCTTCTGAATGCTCCAAGTCCGAGTCCTTCCGAGCCGCCTCGGTTCCGAGGGATTCCGAGGGTGGTGAGTAATAAACCAGGTGCTGAACAGCCATGTCGCGCTGAGGTGATTGCCATATTTGTCAACACGCTGGCGTGCATCGTTTGGGCTTCGCATGGATGGTGGGTTCGCAAGAGCCGCCTGGCCGATAGATGACATAGTGGATAGCCGGTCATCATCTTAACATTGCACAATCAACCAGAAGTTTCTATAATATTAAACTATTTTCATATAATATAAGGAATATAAGAGGTTGTAGTTGTTTTATGATGTTTTATGTGTTTTTCCTCTGGGGGGGTAGAGATTGAATGGTTTTTTAATCGCTGATCATTGGACACTCCAAACCAAGAACTGACAAATGCGAAGTTGATCGGAGCGACGTGAAACTGCTGTGCATTGTTATTGGGAGGTGGCAGCGTGTCACCACCGTGTAAAACAACCGGCAGGTTTAGGATAATATGGACTAATGTTGATCTCATTGGATCAATTGATATTTTTCCAAGCCTATGGCAGTTTGGAAGGCGGGATGCCTCGACACTCCTCGGCAATTAGAATTTCTAGACCAGCTTGTCACTAGCAGCTGAAGGATCTCAAGGCACGTCGATCCAGCTCAAATCCCTCACCAAGTTACATCAAGGCTGATCCAACTCCTTAACGCTTCAAAATGTGTGTATCTATGTTTATTTTCCAGATCTGACTATGCTTCCAGTGAAGTCCTTGCACAGGACCCCAGGGCGCCCACACACGTCGTTTGCACCCCATCAGTGTCGCATTTGTTTTGGCCTCGACCAGGTGGTTTTCAACAATACACTGACCTCCTGACTCAGTCCAAGCAGAAGAGATTCTTGGACAGGAAGGTGCGCGATTCCGTGCTAAAGGAGTTGGCATTGATGTTTGCATGTGCGTATGCTGCCAGTCACCGTACATCTTAGGGGCATGACATTCCTCCCTGGGCCACTGGGAGTTCAGCAAAGAACATGGGACCTCCAGAAGCGGTTGAATTCGAATTTATTCAACTGTTATAAGTTATATGTTCTTTTGGGGGGGCTGTGGTTTTGAGGTGGGGCTGTGTTCTGTTCAAGGTCGAGTTTGCCGAGTCATCCTCCAAGCTGCTTCCAGCGTTCTTCTACATGGTCAAGAAAGCTCATCAACCCATATTTGCTAATCATCATGGCACTTTGGCTTCTGAGGAGACAAGCGAGCACAAGCTTTGGCTGACAAGGTGAGAGAGCCCAGATGACCAGATCTGAATCGGACATGAATGGCCTTAGTATGCCTTAGTATACATCTAATATAGTAACTGTGACACTGGAGCAGTATTTTTTTGTGGGGGGCACTATTTTCGGGGACGCCTGTGGTTTCCTGCGTTTGTTCGCGTTCCTTGCAGCATGTTGATTGGCCCACTGGACAACCTGGGCGAGTCAAGGCTAGTCTGTTTGCTGGGTGGTTTTGGGTGCTTCGGTTTGGACCTTTTTGGTCTTCTCACAGCCTAGGTCTTAGACTGGAGTTGATGCCTTTGTGTTTTAAATCAAGCAAAGCAAGCCACTAAGAGCTGCTAAGTGTCCAGCATCCCAAAGGCCGGCTTGAAGCTCTTCAATGTGGTTTGCAAGATCTATGTGCAGCTGCTTGGTCAAGCGAGCCCCCCCAAAAAAAGGTGAGGACCAATCAAAGGCGTACTAGGTTGAGCCATTGTGACACATTTGACCCCTTTTCGCAAGGAGAATGATTCTGACTAGACGCTTAAACAGGATGAATTGAATCTGCCAATGGCACTACCAATTTGTTTTTTTGAGCCACTTCCAACCGCCAAATGATTTGCGTCCATGCCAGCACGCTCGATTATGTACTATTCGTCCATTGGCAAGACCTGGATTGTGGCCTGACACTTGTAATGCCGGAGAAGCAGAATAAATGTAAAGCTGACACATTGACTTGTTTGTTGCTCCTTCTGCGCCTGCATTTTTCCTGGTAGACTTTGATTTTGTCACCTTTGTCCATGAACCAACGCTGGCCAGAAGAAGCACTGCCAGCAGCGATGCGCTTTGATCAGGTCAGTACTTTTCGCCAACACACTGGCTGCCGTGATGATGGCCAATGCCGCATGGCCAACAGGAGGAAAGCCACTTGAGGTAATGGCTTGCAGCCAGACACAATCCTCAGACCAGCATGGGTTCATGGAGCATCCATACCAGCGGGTGTTTGCTTGACTTAAGGATTATATAAGTTATGGGAATTGGATGGAATTGGCTTTTGAATGAAAGGATTGAGTAGCCAGTTGAATGTAACTTAAGGATACTTAAGGTAACTAATTCTTTTTAATGCCACCAAGCGTGTCACCAAGCCAGTGGAATGAGCCCAGGTCTACGACGGCCTTGGGTTCCAAGCCTTGGTGATGCCACGTGGCGGTGACCGCGACCACTCGACCGCTCGGTTCTGTCGAACCTGTGGAAGTCGAAGCTTCCAACATCGTGGCGGATCACGGCCGGTGCGGTTCAGTCAACCTGTGTTGGCAAACAAGGATTCATCGATTTTCCGATTGGAATCTCAGAATCTTTGATTTTCAGTACCTGGTTGCATTCAGAATACTGAGTTTCTCAGATGTTCATGATTTTCTTAGTGCGTACAAGTGGCGCACACACAGAGATTTTGCATGAGGTTTCTTTAAGGTTTTGTGAGTGGTTGTATATAATGACTTGTTCTAGCCGAACTGTTGGCCAAAATCCTGCAGCTGGTTCTATGTGACTAGACCGGGTAAGACAGCTCCGAGAGAGCACAGCCAAACGTTCCTAGGAGCGAATCACATTGAGGTATGTCACACATGGAAGAAACGTGGAGGGACAGTATGCGAACGAACCTGAGGATGTGAAAAGATAAGACAGTCTTGAGGTTTTTCAGCTAAGGATCCGAAGTAGGCATATCTTATTATGGCCAGGAACATGTGGTACAGACAGTGACCTCCCTGACCTCCTCAGGAACCTGGCTAAACTTGCACAAATCCTCCTGTACTGTAGCGAATGTATCAGCTTTGCACCTTCGGCACCTTTGGCACCCTCTTCAGGCACGAGGCATGGCATTCATCCCTCATTCAGACTCATTCATCACTTCGAACTAGTCCAACTCCACCACGTGGTTGAACCACTTCGGAGGACAGGGAGCTCCCACCATAAACCCCAGCCTACTGATTCTGCCCACCCCCACTAGAAGTTTCAAGCGGGACACCTCAGGATTTCCATGTATGTGGCTTGCTTTTTGATCGCATCCGACTTCGTGCCACTCGGGCATCTTGGATGGCCTGTCTTTCTTCAGCTTTTACTGTGCGGGTTGTGGGTGGTAGCGTCCCACCACTTGTTCGTCCTCAACGGTTGATCACGGTGTTCTACAACACTCCAAGCTTCTAGCTACTAGTAGCTTCTTGTTACTACTAGTACGGCACTTGTTACTAGAAGCGATGCACTTGTTACTAGTAGCTTCTAGCTACAATGTGGAGATTGTAACATATCTCATGATAATTTGTTGAGCATTGTGAAGTGGGCTGCCAGTCCTTACTCGCTGATGTTCTGATGACTTTGATGATGCGCATTGTCAGCATGATACGCCCCAAAGAGGATGAAGCAAACGATCAACGCCCAACTAAAGAGGTAATTTCACCTGGACCTGTACAAATTGTACACAAATTGTCTTCATGTACGCTCCACCTGCTTGTAGAGAAATATGGTAATCCAAAGGAGTTGTGCACCAATTGTCATGTAGGATCATGTAGGTGATATTTTCCCTACTGCATCCTCTCCGTTCCTTTCCGTCTCGGGCGGGCTCTAGACCAACATCGTGTCGGGCGTTCTCTTGGCATCGCACTCTGGGCTGAGGCCAAAGAACTGCGACCACATCGCCCTTTGGGGTCACGTCCTGCTGTTGCTGGTGGTTCTTTGCCCCAGCTCGGTTCCTTGGTCGCCGTTCGGAACCCGTTCGGAGCTGCGTTTTCTTTTGACCCGGTGGCAGCGACTCGCAATGGTTCGCAGGTGGGAAACGGTTTCGGACTTTGTTCCCTCGCACGGCCCTTGATTCGTAGCGAAGTGTCTTGTTTTTCAACAGGTCAATATCCCCACCCCACCCACTTCCAACGCGACCTGGGTGGCGCGACCTGGGTGGGTTTCTCCTGAGGACATGGAGTTCGTGATCATGGGGGGCGCCCGGTCGTTGTTGCGGGTCTTCTCCGGCATCCTTTTCCGAGATCTTTGGAAGGTGCTCTCAGCTAACATGGCCGCAGCCTCAGTGGTCGTTGTTTTCATGGCCAAACCTGCGGACACCGAGGAGCCCATACCCGGCCACAGAAGCAATATCTTAAACACTCGCTGCGCTGCCCGTTTCAATGCCCCGTTCCACACTAAGAGTGACACAACGTTCCACAAATTCCCGCAACCCATCCGACTGGGTTCCACGAGCGATATATCGCAGGGAATGCAATTGCGCATGGTTCCACCTGTTTGGGGAGAACTCGTCGCCGTTAAATCCTGCTTGAGTTTCAAAGCAGAGGGACTCATTTGCACCATCAGTGGCCTAATTTGGGCACCGGAATGAATGCAGGAGGGGTGGGCGGTTTTTGCCAACTGACATGTTGATCAGACACTGCCTACACCGCCTATACCTCCACAGACCAGCACCGAGAATCATCATGGCTTTTGACGGACCGGATGCCTGTTTCCCCCCTCTCGAGGTCGAACGAGGGGTTCCTGCGATCCCTAAAACGCCGCGACGGCGTTGGTTTTGCCTCAGGTCTTGAGCTTGGCGTCGATTTGGCAGATCACCCGGGCAGCCCAGGCGAAGATTTCGGTGAAGCCGAGGAAATGATGAGAGATGGGTGGTGTCAGTGGTGTCAGTGAAGCTCAAGGGCCCAAGGGAGGGAGAGCGGCTGAGGTTGATGACATTTGGATTTTTTTGAATCTACAGATGGTAAGCTGAAATCATTGAGCCCTTTTTTTGCTTTTTTGGCTGTAGGCAGGCAGGTTCTTGTGGTTTGAAATTCTTACGACTTACTGTAATTACTACTGACAATGCACTAAAGCTCATAGTGGCCCCATCGAGTGGGGCAACTTCCTACCATCCAGGGATAGACTATTCTTGGCTGGCTGTTTTCGAGCTTGCTTGGGTATATATCCTTAGGTCAGTTCTCAATTTGAAGCCTGCTGCAGGCTGTGCAGAATTTTCCAGAACGTGTTGAATACCAACCACCCGTTCTACTCTCGGCCCAGTCACGCAGGGTTCGTGAGTGCAGGTTCCGCTAGGAAGCTTTCCAGCTCGGGCGCGTGGATGAATGAGATCAGATCCAGACTGCCCTAAGATGCCAGGCCCTCAAACACATAGGGTTTTGAGGGCCCAGACCCCTGCCATGGAGAGTCCAAGGATTGTTAGGGTGCTTTCCAAATAGCACGGTGATTTGGAGTTGCACGGGGTGGATCTCACGCTACCTCACACCTGTCCGGAGGCGATGGATGGACCGGGTCACTGCTTCGCTGCGATTTGCTCTGAGACGCTTTGCGTGGTGCAGGTGGCCTTGGTAGTACTCCTGGCGCCCCGTCGGCCAATGGTGGTGCTGATGGTTAACTAGCCCGATATGGGGCAGGGGGTGTTGTTGCAGGTGCGATTGCTAAGTAGAGCCAGTCGAGCTTTCCAGATGTGCACCCGGTCCTCCTGAGCATGGAACCATACAATTAAGGAACTCCCCCTTTTTGTTGGCCCCGACGTTTTCTTGCAATGGTGACCGCCGTTGAAACAAAAACCTTCCGGCCCATGTTCCATAAGTGGGTACCCCAAAACCTCTCCCAAATAGTTTTGGCCAACCTTTTGTGGCTCAACCTTTGTCCAATGCAAACCGCCTTTATTCCCTTTCCTCACCCCCTGTTTCTGCAATCTGGATGCACAAGTCCGACTGAATTGTGGATGATTGTTGGTCATTGTCAGAATATGCCACCAAAAGACAGGATAGGGGACAGATAGTGGGACGGATTGCATCCTGGATTTGTTACATGTTTATTTATATATATATATATATAGAGTTATAAAATCATGTCATAGTCATAGTTATATACAGTAATCAATCACTGCCTCTTTTCTCTTCTCCAGCGCTACCTCGCAAGATACCTTTTGCCCATGCTGGCTCATGCCTGTGGCATTTTGCTCAGTCAGTGAGTCTCAGTGGGCAGGACGTTGGCCAAATTGGCGTATCCATGCTGGCATCCTGCTTCTCAACCCATTCATCCCCTTCCATTCCTTCAGGCTCCTCCGCACCCAGTGCTCCTTGGACCCATCTCATTTGAATGCTCCGTGGAACCATCTCAATCGTACGAATGTCGCCCTTCACCTGGACCCAGATCCTCTAAAATCACCCAGAAAATCTTGCATAAATCTCTTTATAGAAACCCATCCAAATGAAATGTTTGTTCGATATTATTTATAACCCTCCCATCACTTTGGCCTCCCCCCAAGGGAACAGTGGCACTTCCACCCAGGCCTCTACTATCCTCTTCAATGAACTCATCGAAATCCTTCGCTTGCATCTTCCATCTTCCATTCCTTTCCTTTCTCCTTTCTGATGGAATCTTCAACCTCATAGATCCTTTCCTTCATGTTCTTATGTTTCTTTCGACTCCTCTCAGCTTCATCCAGCCATCTCAATCTAAATGAGCCTGATGCATTTATTTTCTCTTCCTCATGCCTGTCAGCTTCATCAAGCTCGGCCCAACCTAAGAAGCTTGATGGATTCACCTTCCCCTCGCCGCTTGCTTTTCATGCTCATGCAATTCCCTTCTGATATACTTCAATGCTTCCATGCACTGCATCCTTGAAACATGAAGCCCGCTTTCATGGCCAATTTTGGGTTCCTGATCATCCCACCGTGCTCATGCTCGAATGGCACACCGTGCCCATTCTTTGCTTGCCATCCTTCTGAAACAGTGCCCCATGGTGCTCTTCAAAATGGAATCAAAGATCCCATCATGTAGTACCACACGTGACTCATAGCTTCTATTCCCATCATGAGCTTCTCTACGCTTGCTGCACTTTAATCTTTGGGATCTCTCCTCATGAAGAGATTTCGTCTGTGGGGCCTGTCCTCATGAAGAGATTTAGTTCTTTGGGGGATCTGTTTTCATGATGTTCCCTCAAAAATTGTTTGCAACTATTTGGTTCAGACCTCACATTCTAGGTATATTTATATATGAGTACATGAATGTGTTTCCATTCTGTGCCTGACTTGCGTGACCTTGACTCTTGGATATCTACTCCGAAGCCCTTCTACTTCCAAAGCACGGACACGGACAGATCGAAGCATTTTCAGGACCAAAGGAACGTACCAAAGGACCACCTGGACGTGTTTCAGTGCAACACTGGATGTTTGGATGTTTTTGTCGGCAGCTTTGGAAAAAGATGTGTTCTGTTTGAGGACCGAACCTTCGAACCACCAAACCGGGGTGCACCAACTCCCTTCACCAAAGCGGTGGGTAGTGGATTTACTCCTGGCTGAGGTATAGAGGCGCCCTTGAGTGGCGGTGCTTTCCGGTTTCCCCGAACGAGAGGTGAAACAACGTGAAACATGTAGTGGATTCATTTCGTAGATGGTCGACACCAACTTCGTCATCAGAGGCCGCTTTAAACTGATTATTGATGGTTATTGACATGTTGCATTTGCACAGAGCTATCACAGGGGCCCTTCACAGCCACAAGAGCATTTTGTTGAGAAGGTGATGAGATGAAGGTCAGAGCCCACCCGGGCCCGGGCGGTCTCCACAGAAAGGGGCCCAAAACCGACACGCCATGGGCTTAACTGAGGTCCAAAGCTTGGTGGGTGAGCTAACGGATTCGCGGCTCCACATCATGAACATCACTGCAAAGAGCCATGCGCGGAGGAATTTGCTCTCAGTCTTGGTGGATGCAGATATCACATTGGATGCCAACTTGAAGATTTGTGGCATGGCAGCACCTACAGAATATGTCCTCACATAATTTTGTGTTTGTTCTTCTTTGTAATTTGCAGGTTGCGGTAGTCATTCTCCGCCCCGCGCAAACGGCGCAACCCCTCAACAAAGCACACACACTTCTATTACTTCATCTCAGTAACCCAGGTTATGACACCATTGATCCAAACAAGGAAGTGTTCGACATTAAGTACTGGTCTTTGGCCTTTTTTTGGAAAATTGGCAAAGATCAACAACTTTCAGAGGCTTAATGATGCAAGAATTCCAGGTGGTGGGACATGTTGTACATCAACCGCATCAATATCAGAGAAGTCCACCGCTTTCAAACCTGCCCAGTCAACGCCACGCAACTCGCTTTGGTCGAAAAGCCACGGGTCTGCGAAGCTTCACAGGTGCTCCCAGCAACAAAGCCCAGCACTTCTTCACACAAGACCTGGCAAAAGATGCAGCTTGGATGAACGATGCAGCTTGGAGGTGAGTTTTAAAGACACCAGATCAATGAGTCAATGATACTAGAGCTACATTCGGCTAGATCTTCTGGATGCTGTTCTTTAGAATGCTTTCGGTCCACACAACTGTATACCCTTTGGTTGCGATTTAACGGTGCAGAGGTTTGTCATGTCGGGCAGCTGCAACGCCAGTTGCTTTCACATGGGGCAGTTGGTGGTCCTGTACCCAATCCAATCACACCAAAAGGATGCAGATGCTCGGGCGATGGAAGAGCTTTGGGTTGGGGTGTGTTTCAACAACGTCCTTGTCTCCCAGTGACAATGGTTTTGGAACTCTTTACTGTATGGCACGGTTTTCCAAACTCTTTTGACTTATTTGAAAAACATTAATAGAACTTGCATGGACTTATGTTTTCCATCTTCCATTGGAAAGTCCCACCTCCCCACCTGGAGGCCAACGATTTGTCAAGGAAACAGGGCATTGAGTATGCTGCATAACCGGCTTTCTCGGAGGCTAGCTTCAGGATATGGGGATATTCGTAGTTTACTAGCGGCTTGCCGCGGCATTTGTACGCCTGAACTGCAGATTGAGTTGGAAACTGGATTCGCCTGACTCCTTATTTCTCACTTGGACGCGCTTCAAACAGAAAGGGCCTGGCTTCGCCGTGTTGCTTTGCTTGACTTGCCGTTCCCGGCGCTTGCGCTGCGCCGTTCCGGCAACACGGCGCTCATGTGAGGTGACCTCTGTGGAAGGCCGACTTGCTGCTGGCACAGATGTTTGGGTGGCCCACCCGGTGTGGATCACTGGGCTTTTTCTAGTCACCTGCAATCAAGCCACCAGTTCCTTAGTCGTTTGGTACACTTGGCAAGTTGTGGACTTCGTCCGCTTCCGGTGTCCTCCTCACTACCCCCTTTATTTTTGGCCCCAACTGGACTTGGACGTAGTCCGCGCACACGCTTCACACGCTTCATCACCACGCCAGGGATGAAGTTTCATCACCTGGTGGCAGAGGCAGATCGCTCGAAGCTGCGAGAATTTCTCAAGCCACTTGACGGGATCCACCGCCTCTCCCGGTGGAGAGAGGAGAGGGTTTCTTTTTACACCGCTTGGTGTCCAAACGTGTGTCCAAACGTGTATTTGAAGTTTAACCGCTTGAAAGGGGATGCCACATGTTGTCATGCCATATGTAGATGTTTGCGGTCAGCCCTTGGTTCCACCTTGACTCATTGAATGATCCTGTGACAGAGTCCCACTTTGAACTACTAGTAGCATGCTACACGCGCAGTGTGTGTTAGGTCCAAGACGAGTTTTCTGTGGTTACTCTTAAACATGGGTTGGTATAGATGTTGGAGCGGCAAATGTTGTTTCCTTGCAAAGTTCTTCTGATGTCAGCTGACTTTTGCTGTTACTGTAGCTTCCACTCGAGCAAAGTGTGTGTTTTTCCCCCTTGAGCGCTTGTGCACATACACACACACACACATGTTTTGTTTTTCAAATTTATCCCTACTGGCTGAATGAAAACGACGCCTCCTTTGCCTCCGCTGAAGTCGGGGAAGTCCGGTATGCCTGCATGAGATTGAGCTGCACATGTAGGGACATCCTTGAGTTCCTAGAGTAGAAGGCATACTGAATCCTACTGACTAGGAGTGGTGTAACAAGGTAACCTGTGATGGCTTGCAACATTATGCCTGGAAGTACGACCCGGAAAGAGTAACATGGCCTGAGAAGGAATCTTGGAAGACTAGCTTCCTCCACAAACCAGCGGTTTTCAACTTCCATGTTAATCTTCCAGGCAGGTTAGGTTTCGAAAGTGTGGGCTCTCAATGGGAACAACAGAAATTCCAGCCCCTGAATTCATCCAACGTCAGCAGGGCCCGTACATGTTCTTTTTAAACAAGACATGTTAAAGAACGAACATCACCTGCAAGCAGAAGAAGAAACAAACACAAACACAGTAAAAAACAACATACCTTCGACTTGCGCGCGACGAACAAGCCAAAACCGACCGTCGCCGGGTGTGAGTCGTGGCGGCATGAACTCCACCGGCGAGACGGTGGATGGTTGGAGCGAAAGCTCTCGATCCATTCAGGGCGGAGGCGGGTGGGAGTGCTGGAGTGCTGGGGACGTGGTGGGGAGTGGGGTGTGACACAGCAAATCAGATCAAATATCCAATGGATATTGATTTTTTGTTTACATGTTTCAATGAACAAAATACATCAAATTACTGTAGATCCTTTGGATGTGTAAAGCACCTCGGAAAACACGACTGTAACCCTATGGAATGCCCATTGGAGATCCCCCCAAAAGATGGGATGTCCAATATTTGACACCAAGCGAGAGCTTGGTGTCAGGTCCCCGGTGACATGCTGTGACCGAGTCACCTCATGTCACCTCCCCTAAGCAAGTGAGTTGCAGTACCTGGACAGATTCCGCCACATTGTAAGGAATCATAATCGAGGCCAAAGGATGAGTTTGAGGGCTTGAGGCAATGGTTTCCTGCAGGCTCCGACCAAAGCCGCTGAACGAGGGTAAGGAGCATCGAAAAATGCAGGAAGTGGCTGACTTGGGAGAAGACTTGGAAACCTGACCGTGTTGGGTCTCCAGGAAAAATCCAGCACCCCCTGTTTTCCGCCAATCCCCAAGCTTTCGACTCTCAACCCAGCATGGAAGAGAGAGGCGAAGTGAGCAAGCAAAACAAAACCAGAAGACATCTCATTCTCCTCAACACTGAAAGTATGATGAAAAGATTGATGCAGTGTAACCAGTAGTAAGAACAATAACGCTACTAGGGGCTCCTGGCCTTACCACTAGGAACAAGAAGCTACTAGGAGCAAGAACCAGTACAGCGGTTGCTATGTTGACATATCTCAATCTCAGTAGCTTCGCCCCTTGAAGTTTGGCAGGCAGCCCGGCCTCGTCCATGTCAATTCAGATGGGTGTCTGGTCGGAACCGCTTGGGCCCGTACCGGTGGATTGGGGAGCCTTCAGCTTTGGCATGGAGAAGCCTAAGTTTCCGCCTAAACTGGGTTCTCATGTAGCATCCATAATGACAAGTGTTCGGGTTCGCAGTTGATGCATGTTGGCGATACGGGAGCTTCCTGAAAGGTAAGACATGGAAAAACCAACCCAGCAGACCTTATGCAATGCGGCATTACATGCCATTACAACCTGAAGGCTCCTGCCTTCTGGTGTTCTGGTGTTGCTGGAAAATCTGAGCGGACGACGGGGACGCCCAGAGGTTTTGGACGGCCGTGGCCTTTTCCAGGAACCCAGGAACCTAAAAGCATCCTTCAAGCAGATCCACGAATCCACCGCCGGAGACGTGGTGAGTCTCCAGATGTGAAGACGCAATGGCATTGCTTCACCCAGCCAAAGACCGTGGCCACAAAGACCGATATTCATGAGATATCAATGAGATTCTAAAAGGACCGTTGCAGGGACCGTGCAGATCCTCCAAACGAAAGCTCCTCATGCACCTGCCCATCCACCTCCCTCCTGGACCCGCCACGGATCGGACGTTGAGGCAAGTCCGGGCGGTTCCTTCAACTCTTTCACGCCAGTATCCCCGTGATGGACCGAGAGGAAAAGCGGCAGCCTCGACATTTGGTGGGAATCCAGGCCAGGGCTGCTATCGGGCCGCCTATCGTAAGTGTCTAGCATGAGACAGTCATCGACAGACACCCTGGAAAGGCTTTTTGGAATCCTTCATTGTTTGGTGGGTTTGAGGATTCTAACATATGTTTTAACCTTTTGGAGGACAATAGGGGCTTGTGTGTGAGGGTTGATGTTGTTTGATAGACTTGGTCGTTCTCTATGTTCATGCCAGACGCAGTCCGCGCTGTTCGTTGGTGTAAAACTCCGCATTGCCTTTCAGTCCATCTCCAATGATGTTCTATACAGGCTTGTCACCAAAAAGGAGACTGAACCACTCAAAGAAAATCCATTCGCCAGTGGATCTTCAGCGTGGCTTGCGAAGCCGCGGTCGTGGGATTTCCGGTTTTAAGGCCAACGGTGCGAGGATCAGCCACAACCTGGCGCCAGTTCCCTGGTCGTGAGTGCCAGTCGTTTTCATGAGAGCCAGTCGTCCGTGGAACTTGTTTCATCGCGACGCCGTTTGCGCGCCAGGAACATTTCAGCGCGCAAGAAGTCCGGGACACCGTCGAGCCCGATGTCTTCTTCGACCACAATCCCGACGCCGAACAGGTGCAACTTGGTGGAAAAGACCATACAAGACAGAGATCCACAGAACTACTAGGAACAAGAAGCTACTAGGAGCTCCTGGCATCGCTACTAGGAGCAAGGACGCTACTAGGGGCTCCTGGCCGTACTATTAAGAACAAGAAGCTACTAGAAGCAAGAAGTGGTACCACAGTTCAGGGTGTGGCTTATGGGAAAGAGTCAGAGTCTTCCGGGACAATGTTTGGCCAGGTCCACATAGTCCAGTTCCATGATTGCTTGAGGGACAATATTCACTTGACGGGTGTGATGATGTTTGGCGTTTGCAGGTGCAACTCCATTACATTCCATGTAAACATACGGTAACGCTTTTTAAATATGGTGGCCTGGCCAGAGCAATCGGGTGTGGAGGTAGTATAAAATACCTGTTCCCACCGTATATTTAAAGGCTCTGGCCGGGCCAGAGCAATCGGCCCCGGAGGTAGTATAAAATACTTGTTCCCCCCGTATATTTAAAATGTAGTCCCTGTTGACATTTCTTTTACGAAAATGGGAGAACTTGAGGCCCTTACAGAGAGGCCATGTTGTAACGAGGCAGTTTTGGCACCTACAGAACCCGATTTTTGTAGAGAAATAACTTTATGCTTTCTGCCCAGCAACCAGGTCGATCTAGCTTTTCAATCACACTCACAGGAAGTAGAACTCATCAAGGACTCTTACTACTTTCAGGGCTGCAGGTTGTATGGGGAGGTGCCACACCACCAAATCAAAACCACCAGGGCCGCCTGGACCACTTACTTCACCACCAAGACCACCAGGACCACCAAGAGTAGACTGCCACAATCACCAGGACCACCGGACCCAAGGCCACCAGGTCCACCAAGAGCACCACCAACACCGCCTAGACCGCCACAATCACCACCAAGACTACCAAGACCACGGAGACCACCAAGACCGGACCACCAAGGCCACCAAGAGTAGACTGCCACAATCACCACCAAGACCACCGACCACCAAGACACCAAGACCGGACCACCAAGGCCACCGAGCACCACCAACACCGCCTAGACATCCTAGACCGCCACAATCACCACCAAGAC